AGAATAGTGGAAGTGTGTTCCTCTCCTCGTCCGCCTATTGCAAAATCAAAAGCCTGTTTCGATCTATTGCAACATTTACCTATGAGACAGATAGGAGAACCAACAATTTACCCAAGCATTTATTCATTTAATTCGTTGTGGTCTAAAACAACAGAAGGTCTGCTGTGGGTATGAGCGTATGAGGTATGAGGGATCTGTAATTGCAGGGTAATTACTGTCATTACTACCACTACGGCGTCGGTAGGCAGCTAGCTATCATGTGGTTACAGTGCTGCACGCACACACACACTCGTGCGAGGCGATGAGGCGATACAATTTGTGTTTATATACCATCGATATATTGTTTTGTATTCATTGATATATTCAATCTGGACTTTTGTCCATTGTGAACATCGTTACACATACGTGTATAGAAACAACAATCAATCGAACCACTAAAGTTGAAACTTGGACGATTGATAAGTAGATATCTTATTTCCAAAAGAAAGTAAAACTTCCACGGTCGTTAAAGCCTCCCAATGAGAAAATAAACTTCTTGGTTAATTGTAAAGGTTAGGACTGCTGTGATGTGGTGTGACCAAAGAACACAGAAAATAATGGACGTGACTGCTGTTGCTGTTACTTTGTGGTGTTTTGTGTGTGTTAAAAAGAAAAAAAATATACAGGTCTGCCAAAACAAGAATTCTTCATAGAAACAAGACAATAGCTTTGCAATGGTTATGAAAATGCTCTCCTACTTCACGCCCTGCGCGATTCTTTTGTTCTTATTCTGCTCTCCGCTCCCGTTTTATTGTTGAGTTTCCGGTAAATCGAACACTTGTTTCCGCCTGACAACGTTGTTCCACTGTTCCAGTGTTCCAGGTTCCAGTGTTCAGTAATCAGTTTCCATTCCCTCTTCCCTCATTCCTGCTCCTGAATCCTGGCCGTAGCTGCTGTAGCTTGGAACAAAACACGACTCACGACTCCCTTTGACTTTGACGCTTTCTGCATCTGCATACAATACTGCTTACTGCCATTCAGCCATTGATGATTGTGGAATTGTTTGTTCTTCTACCGCAGTTGGACAAGGCGACGTGTGTTAAGGTAAACCATCGATTATATCCACAACCACAAGGAAGTTTACTTATTCTGGTGTAAGCTAGGCTCAACTCAAGGCTGTGTAGTCAAAACTTAACCTCAATAATTATACCAGTCATCTCAAATTTGTGGTAGTTTTTGTTATTTTTGCTCTTTGTTGTTATAGTCTTGTCTGTCATTTTATCTCACAATTAAACATTGCGTAGGCCTTTAAAGAACTAGGCCAGGCCTAATGATCTTACACAGTCCATCTTAAAGTAAGGCCTAGTTCAAAGTTGAAGAAAGTGAAGTTTAGGTTTTAACCACTAAAATTTAAACAGAAAACTGATCCGACACAAATGTTTATCTTGGGCAGACTTCTATATCTGTTGGCACTAATATCGAATGAGTACTTTTTATCGATATTTGGTACTCATTCGATAGTTTGGTTAGTTAGGTTAGGTTATATATCGATTAATCGATATATCGATAAAAAGTACTCATTCGATATAAAAAGTACTCATTCGATATTAGTGCCAACAGATATGGAAGTGTCCCCTTTATCTTTAAGAAAGTATGTTTTAACGAGTTTCCCATGTAGCCTATAGGGAATAGGCTATTACCGTAGTATGTACTCATGGTAGCCTAAGACCTGGACCCGGAACCGATTTACTTTTTCGTTTTAAGGTCCCTAGAGGCACAGAAAACATATTACAACCCAGAATGCCAACCGCGTGGTAAAAAGCATTAAAGTGTTTTGAGAGAGCTTTGCCTGTCAATCGTAGGCAGCGCCACCAGCGTTGCCATGCACTCAGCATAGCAACGCTGGTGGCGCTGCCTACGATTGACAGGCAAAGCTCTCTCAAAACACTTAATGCTTTTTACCATGCGGTTGGCATTCTGGGTTATAAGTTAGTAGTATGTTTTCTGTGCTAGAGGTCAAAAACACCGTTCAAATGACGGGTAACTTAAGTTATGTGTTCGTTAGCACAATAACTCGAGCAGTGACTTAATGACCCGATTTTGATGAAATTTGGTAAAAACCTAAATTTATTCAAACGAGTTCACGAACCAGCATGATCGGACTATGGGAACGGAGGTTTATGGTGGGTTTTATGTGGTAAAAATAGGTTTTCCCTTTCTGACCCTAAAAAACACAAAATTTCACAATTTCATCCCATACCATTTTGTAGAGCTTAAAAAAATAATTTAGTAGGCCTATATTGAAGCGTTATTGTGCGCCTAATGGTTACGGAGAAAATTCCAAAACATAGTAAATTTAAAATTCCCATGTTATTCTTATGGAGAATAAGTCAACTGTTATAGTTTGCTTGTTTTTATGAACATATTTTGATTGAATTTGGAAAATACATTAATTTCTTACCAAACTATTAACATTTTACAACAACAAAAAAACACACTTTTTTACCCTCCCTGTTGCAACAAACCTAAGTAGCCTACTCGTTGAACTAGGCATTATTAGTAGGCCTAATTAAGTTATATTTAAATAGGGAATAAATGTGATATTTTTAATGAGGCATTTTAGTGTAAATAATCATGCTAATGGAAATTTGCTTAGTCTGCAGGTTTGCTGCGGCGGGGGTATTTTAACATACATTGATTAACAATATTTGGGCCAACCTAAATCTGACGATGTCAGGGAAATGTGAAAATCAACAAAGTTATAGACCTTAGAGGTTTTCTAGTATTCTAAGCTGTTGTTCAGGAAGATTTTCTATCAATGTTTGATGTTTTTACATCATGGTAGGTAGGGGCTACAAATTTTTTTTTACAAGGATGTTTTCACTTTTTCTTTGATAAGTTATTTCTTTTCTAAGTCACACTATGGAGCACTTTAACAGCTGTTTGAGAACAATCAACAATGAAGCCCATCATTCTGATAAGATAAACAGCCTCTTCAAGCTATCATGCTATCATTTAGGCTACTTGTTTGTTCACCAAACTATTCCAATACCTTTTTGTGGACTCAAATATTTAACAATCGTCATCAGTTTATAAATATTCTGGAAAGATTTAGTTTGTTATGCCCAAATTTAAGTTAAGTTAGTGGTTTGGAAAGTGTCGCTGTACAAATTTCGTAGAGATTTTTGTAGGCTATTTGTTAAAGTTCATATTGTATCTCTATTTGGCTATAAGTCATTGGAATATCAGATTGATAGGGTTAAACTATTAATACTAATTAATTATAATAATTCATTAATATCATTATTATTAATAATTAATTATATTAATTAAAATATTATTTAATACTAATTAAGATGGGGATGCCACCTATGTGTATCATAACCCAAATAATATGAATGTAAAATGTTGTGAGATTATCTGTATAGCTTTGTTACTAACTAAAATCAGCTGTTTCATTAGCCAGGACAATTTTATTATGCATCCAATGATCTTGTTGGGTCAAGTTTCGAACCATCAGAAAGCTAACTTACTGACCTCTCAGGATTGAACCGGCAGCCTTTTGATTGTTAGGCGAACACTATTATCATTCAGCCCAATGAAATGTAAATCATTTGCAGGCTTGTGTTAAGCTGGTTGCGTTGTCAGTTTGAAAACACTTCCCTTTATTAGGCCCATCTCTCAACTAGTTTACATATAAATAAGTTAGGCTGACAATCGATCAACCGATGTCAATCAAAAACTCTAAAATGCAATCTAAGTAAAGCTCCATTACAACAAGTGCTATCACATATCGAGGCTTATGTCGCGTGTAATTTTTCATGCTGTTTCCATTCCAGGCACAAGTCCCGCGACTATGACTGGTAGACAAGGCCATTTGCTCTCAGGAAAAAAACAAGAAATCTATCTAGATGGTGGATTTAAGAAGTTTTTTGTTGTTGCTAAAATACCATCAGAAGGCGCATTTAACTCATTGATGAGAGATTTGCGCAGCTACAAAGTGGCTTCCAAAATTACCTCCATTTTACTTTACATGATTTTTAATTTGAGTTGGATCCGATTGTATAGGAAATCGAGAAAAATAGCTATTGTCAAAAACCTATTCCTTCTGGGGAAATGTTAGCTTATACTCCACAATTTCTAGAAATGGGTGGCAGATACCACAGCTCACAGATGTACCTTCATAGGATTTCAAAATCAGCGATCAAGATTCATAGCTGTAACTTGCCAAGAACATCTAGTAGTTGAAAGATCATTGACAAAGTTTGATAGTTCTATTTAGCCCATTTCCTTCGTTTTCCTCACTATGACAAGACTTTTTGCCTATGTTTATAATAAACTATATTGTCCTTTTGCTTTTGCTTGGTTAATAGTTGGCGCAATGAGTACCGGTACAGTAATTTGACATCATCACACTCTGGCGACAACATTTTGTGTAGCCTACCGGTACGCTTTTTTGTGTACATCAAGCACTTGGTTACCCAGACTAGACGTTGGCTCAACTAGTTGAATTCAACTACAGTACAATAATTTTCATTCTAAATCTGAGCAGCTGTGTCGTCATCACGGGGATAAAGATGTCTTCTAGTCTCTATAGTCAAATAGTAGTTTTAACTATTGATAGAACCATACATGCCATCCCCGTGACCCATGTTAAAATTGTGCCAGTTTTCAATTATTCAAAGTGGACATAAAAAAACACAACATAAACTTAGTGAAGTGAGCCATCAACAGATAGTGCCGATGTAAATTACCAATTTCTGTTTGATTTGCTGACTTTTTAACCAAGATCCTTTATTTCACATGAACTATCTCAGTAAAAGTAAAGGTAGGATATATAGTTTTATACACTTATCACAATCTGTGACTGGCTAATTTGACTGGTCTTTTTAAGAATAATAAATTGGCTACAGCTGGTCCATGTAGATGGGATGTCTAAGTCTCTATAGTGGCAGGTAGTACCTACTGTCAAGTTAGACCTGGTAACAACATTGATGGACATGTGTTTCGTTATGTTGCAGGAGATAAGATGGTCGTGGGGGGTGGGCCGGGGTCTGCGCGGCCCGCAGCTACCACCTCTGCTCCCTCATGGCTGGACCAATGAGAGATACCTCGCTGGACACCAGCCACCGGACCAAGGTTAGCCATCGTTAAACTAACTTAACACAAAACATTACCATAGTCCTTCACAAAATGTATGATGGGTTATCCTCTGGATCAAGATTATGCAAAATATAAAAGCTTTTAATTTACCTGTTGTGTCAATTGATTCTTGTGTTATAAAATACAGCTGTTTGGCTGTTTCGTGCTGCTAAGCGAGCACATCATCCGGTAGGAAAAACGTTAAACTACAGTTTTCACATCGGTGAATGAGGTCGTCAGTACATTTACGACACATAACATGAAACACATATGAAACAACTTAAGTATTTAGAGTGAAAAACTTGGCCAAGTACTCCGAACACGAGGTGTGTAACCGGTAGATGATGAGTTTTCTAATCAGTAAATGAGGTCGTCAGCACATTTAGGACATATAACACAAAACACATAAGAAACAACATTTAAGTATTTACAATGAAAAACTTGGCCAAGTAGTCCGAACACAAGGTGCGTAACCTTTGATGATGAGTTTTCAAATTGGTGAATGAGGTCGTCCTAAATGTGCTGACGACCTCATTCGCTGATAAGAAAACTAGTTTAACGTTCTTCCAACCTGATGATGTGCTCGCTTAGCAGCACGAAACAGCTGTAGTTATTTTATAACACAAGGATCATTGACGCAACAGGTAAATTAAACCTTTTATATTTCACAGAATTTAGGCGGTTTAAGGGGAAGGTTCCCTGTGTTCCTCCACCAATTTTTTGTTTGATGTATATATCAGCTGATCAGCTGTCAGTTGTTGTTCATAGTTAAAAAGGTAAAGTGGAGGGGATGGAATCGCTTCCGCCTAAATTTTGTGAACGGAGTATATAGACAATATACCTATGCTCGCATATTCCCACCAAACCTAATCTGCCTCAACGTTAACCTACATGAAACATCTACTTAAGATTGAATACATAACTAAAATATAAACTCGCCTGGCCTATCCTTAAACATAAATACCACAACTTTTCTAGCCTAACCAACAACACTTATGGCCTACTACATAATCCTAATATGACCCAAACTATTCAAAAGTGTCGCCTACTACATAATCCTAATATGACCCAAACTATTCAAAAGTATCGCCTTCACTTATCTAAATTTCTTAAATTTTTCAAAACCTATCCATCAGAGAAAAAATTGAAAAATCAAATACTTTTGACTTTCTGGGGGAGACCTTCCTCTGTCAAAATTTGTGTGTTTCGGCCAGATGGAACAACGTAAATATTAGTTTCTAAGTTGTCATTCTTGCAGTTTTGATCTTATTAGTCTAGATAAGAGGATTTCTGTCTTTGCAAATCCATGTTATGTTTGTATGTGTGACATATCATAGAAGGCTATACACTTATTACTTGGGTATGTTACGTGTTTATACTTTTGTAAAATAATTTTAAAATAAATCACTAATACCGGTACTTTTTTTCCATTAAATATATTTTTTGTTTTAGCTGCTTAATGGTAAGTAAACTTTGTGGCACAAGCATGTGAGGCAAAGTGAGGAAATACTACAATTATACTGAGTTATATTCAGTAAAAAAATTAAACCACAACTATTGAATTTTAATTTTATGTGAGTTAATGAGCTGAATAAATCATTGCATTTGATAGGTCAAAATAAGTTTTTAATTTTATCAGTTTAAACAATTTCCATTATGTAGAACAGTCACTGAGGGTTGCCAGCTGGCCAGTCGACAAGAATTACACAAAAACTACATAAGCTGTCAACTGCTGTTGACTTTTGGGTTGAACAAACTTGTTGTCTTTACTTGTTCTTAATGTTAGTGAACAGCAGGCTTTGTATTAAATGTAGAAAAATTGTTTAAATTGATAAAAACTTAGTTGTACGAGGATTAGCTGTAAATTAAGGTCTCCGTGACAATTAATCTCGTTGTAGTAGCCAATAAGGATAGAAGAACAAATCTACGCCAAGGTCGCTAAGTATGAATCCTCGTTCTATGATTCGAATTCTGTGGTTTAAGGCACCAATCCCTTATAACGTGAATTGGTATATGTGTACATGGGCCAGTAATCTTTAAGTGTTAGAGGAAGTTCAGAGCTTGTGTTGGTGTAGGTTTTTATCGTATTTGTTTGAGGTAGGGACCAAAGTCAAAGTCTTAAAGACGATTTGTATGAGGATCACGGTGCCACTGACCAAGAGATTACTGATCCCAAACAAGACGTCTCTAATGCTTACTATTCCTTTGTCTAAAACACATCGATAAGCAAGCAAAGTTTCCTCAGCTTTAATCACAACTCGATGCAACATGATTAACTTTCGCTACTGACCTTATTATGCAAACTTGTATGGTCTTTTCTACAAACACCCCAAGTCATTTATGCAAATTTGATTACATCCAAACACTTTTGTATAGGCCTAGATACATCCTAAACAGGTGATTTCATTTCCCTTCCTTGCCGAATTCTAATCACAGAATATGATTTAAACTTGTGATGATTTATTTGTAAGTGTTGGGTGGGAACAGGGTAGAATATAGTAGGCCTAGTGAATGAAACAACACAGTACTGGTGTCATATTCAAAGTAGCTTGCTTGGTCATGACGGGAAATCATTGGAGGCTCTAATTTATTCTGGAAAATTCTAGTTACAGAAAATAATTACTGCAGGTCAGTTTTGCTAGATTTTTGTAAGATACACATGTTAAGGTCTGTACTCAATGCTGTGTATTTTACCGCAGCTCTGTCCCGCAGGTGGCAGACCCGCGGGCGGGGACGGCGGCCAAGGCAGAGACCAACTTCGAGTACGATGACAATGAATGGGATATCGGCATCGGAGACCTCATCATAGACTTGGATGCCGACATAGAGAAGACGGACGAGAAGAGCAACAGCGGAGCAGCAGGAGCCATGGCGTCGTCGGCCCCTGCACCAAACAAGGGCAAGTTATCAATAGAGCACTCGGCCACAGTGGACAAAGGGCTCAAGATGAAAATAAAGAGGACCAAGCCGGGCACCAAGAGTTCCGAGGTGAAGCACGAAATAGTGAAAAGTGGCGAACAACAGAACGGAAACAGTGTAAGTGTCGGTGAGAAACATGGTAACGGAAGTGTGAACAGTGCGGGTGTGAACGCGGGAGTAAAGCGGGGCTCTAGCGGCCACCGCAGGGACAAAGCGAGGGAGAAACACGAGGTGAACGGTGTAGTGAGACCGAACGTGCAGAGAGTGGTGTTCCCAGTGACAGTGTCAGGGCCCGGACCCCCGCCTAGTGACCCACCTCCTGTACCTTCCCCTGCCCCTGCGACACCACCTACACCTCAGGCTCCGCCTGCACTACCCCCGCCACCTACATTGGAGGAGCCTAAGGTGCCCCAGTCAGCTGCACCACCACCACCTCCTGCACCTCCACCTGCACCTGCCCCAGCACCGGCACCGGCATCTCCACCGGCGGTTCCTGCCAAGAAGCCCAAGCCCAGTCCTGCACCCTCGGATATCAGCAAGGTAAGGCAAAAATAAGCTTTGTAATAATTATTATATGATAAAATCCATTTGATCTGAACCCTGTTAAATGTAGGGACTGTCTGCCGCGGCGTGGGTATAGTTTAGCCTGGCTTGGCCTATGGAATGTAGATGATGGTGATAGTCATCTGTCATACAGTAATTTAGATGAGGTTCAGAAAACAGTTGTCAATTAATAATTATAAAAAAAATCTATTATTTGCTTGATTGTCAATTATTGACAGTAGACGAATTAAAAATAATATAATATAGGACTGTTGAAGGTCTAAATATCTTTGGATTGTTGTAGCATATTAATTAACACCATTGACTCACTGAATGTTTCCCCTTTTTTTATTTAACCAGGAATTTACTGTACTGTATATAAATTTATGTTCTTAAATTATCGGGTACCCTTTTGGAGGTCTACTTGTAAAATCATATTTTAAAATTACTTTGTTGTAAACATTAAAAACACATCAAGAATGCCAAGGAAATTCTATAAACAGTAACAAGCTCACAAGTCTGCTCACTGTGTCCCCCTTTGAAGCCCCTGATTGCAGATTACATTGTATGTTGGAGACCAGTTTGTGATGTAACATGACCTTGAACTTGGCTGCCCACTGTGTGTGGTAAATAATTACTAGGACTGGTTATCTACGAACCACCCATCTCTGGGCACGCAACTCAACTGTCAATGTTGTATGAGATTGTTTAGTGTTGTGTGCATTTAGACTTACAGAAGCAGACAACAACTGATCTTGGTCGAGTCCAAATTACACAGATCAATCCACTTTATTCTACTCTTACCTTGCTCATATTCTTAAAATACAGACATCAGACTATGCTGTCTCTAAGAGTTTATGTAAATTGAGTAACCGGTTGTCTTGTTGTAAAGCTATATTAATAAATGACTGGATGCCAGAGGGTACCTATCTCAAAGTGGATCTGAGCAGTTTTGATATAAGTACAACGGGCTGACGGTTTGTACAGTTTCGATATAAAGAATCAAGATTTATTCCCAAGTACTGTAGTAACAGTTTTTTAGGATCTAGTCAACATATTTACCTGTGGAGCAGTTGTCCAATTGAAATAAATAATGTAGGTACTAATGAGGTCTGGCTTATAAAAAAATACATTTTAAATTAAATAGGCTTAAAACTAAGAGTTATTACAATTTAAAAAGCTAATAAAATGCAATAGGCTAGTTATAAAAGTAAGGAAGTACGTTTATAATAAATGAAAAGGAGAAAATATGTTTAGTAACTTAACTTTATTGTTTCATTTAGACTAAGAATGAACTGTTTTAATAAACGGTGGGATAGTATATGGTTTAATAATGAACTGTTTAATAAAACAAGCGTCAAGTTTATAAAGACAACAAAGCCTGGCGGTTTGAACAGTTTTGAAATATAGACAACAGTAAGCTGTCAGTTTCACTGCTTGAGTAATATCTTGCTGATCTCATCCTGTAGCTACAGCTGGCATTAGGCCACTTGGCTAGGCTCATTTTCTGTAGACAACTTGTCATGGCCCCCACCCCTTGTCAACTCCTTCTTGAAATAACCGTTTTTATTCATATAATCTTCTCTGCGTTGGTCTTTCAACGTTTTTAACCGCTGGGATTGTGGTCTGTTTTTAAACAAAAGTTCATAATGAGGCCAAGTTCAGATTAATTCTTTGTCTTTGTGCCGCCAAGATTTGTGCAGTAAATTTGATAATGCAAGAGGGGGTCGGGGGTTGTAAGTATTTTAATTTCATACTAGTAGGCTACATAAAAGATTGTGTTCTTATAAATTTTTGCTACTTTGCTTTTAGATGTTTGAGAATCTAGCACTTTTAAAGGTCATCCTACAGAAAAAAAGTTTCATAGTTGTTGAAAGTTAGTTTCACCTCAAAATGTTTCATATTTTGCCAGTCATTTTTTCTGCAGTACTTTGTACACAATAGATACTAGTTGATACCTAGATGACTAGTTGAGGGTTTTACAGGGTTTAAGGTTGGTGCAGCTTTTATAAACTTATTGATTCATCTTTTGAATGTGACAATTACAAAATGAAAATACCTAAAGCCTGCACATAGCCATTGTATAGTTGAATCTCACTAACTTGACTATTTGTGACCTTGAGGATGTCAGTTTTTCAGAACAAATAAATTTTAATGGGTCGTAGTAAGAAGTTCTTGAATGATTCTTAGATCTGTATAGCTGAAAAAAAATACTTAATTGCTAAGCCACTCAGTCCCGTGGCGTAGGCAGGTGCTAACAAGCTTAGTAGCAAAGCTGGATTAGTGATAAGAACATTACAGTATAGACTGTTACTGCCACCAGTTGTTGGTTATCGCATGTTTGTTAGAAGCTTAAGGTGTGTTGAAATACCTTAATTCCCAACAGAACACACAGAAATTTTACATCTTTATGAGGAGTAAGACACCCTAACAAAGAATTTTAGCCTACATACATAGTCAAGAGGGGTTTTTTTAATGAAGAATTTCATGTAGCCTATGCCTTACATACCCTCGTGGTTATTTTCTTCTCCAAACCCAACCAAGTCCAAAATTAAATAGCTGCATAGCGGAGTGGTTTTAGTTCATTGGTGAGATGATGGTTCAGTCGGTAACGACATAGACTTTTAATCCATAACAGCAATAACAGCGATTTCTCATGTTCGAACCATATGTTAACTGTCTATAAATTTCATCAATAGTTCACGCACTTGTACTGTACTGGCCTATTCGTTGGTTTGTTGTATATGTTCCACCTTTGAACAATAGTCAATGGTTCCATGCACAGGCCCGAGGCCCATGTACGTTTATACGTGGGTAAATGCAATCTCAATAGAGGTAGCCAACCAACTTTTTAAAAATTTCATCCTGAGAATAAACAAGCCAGTAGTAGTGAGTTAGTAGCTTGATGGTTAGAAACTGGACCAAGCTGTCCTTGTTCTTTGGACTTTTTAATAAATGATTGTGTGACTTAATAAACAGCTGATTTTAGTTAGTAACAAAGCTATACAGGTTAAACAGTTTGTTAAATTGCATTTGTAACAGTAAATAGTTGTTTTTTCCTTTATTATAACCCCCCCCCCTCCTGGTTTGTTGTTGTTTGTATTCCCTTGTTGTTGCTGAGTTATATCCCAAATTATTTTTGTAGTTTTATGTAGATCCAGATGAAGATATAAATTATCAATTATTGAGATGGGGACGCTACAATAGGAAACTGATAGGTAATGATAAAGTTGGTTAATTTTCTTGTCTAATTCAGTGTTAATTACACTAGGCCTGAGGTAGGGTAGGGACTATCAGCATATCTGAGAATTGGATGATTGCCAAACATCCTCAGCATACTAAACATGCTGATATTCTAATCTGGTCAATGCTAGTCCCGCTTTAGTTAGCAGTCCTGAGTTTTGTACTTATTTGTTTTTGTGTTGAAAAAGGTTTAAATGCCTGCTATTGCAGACACAACTAGTTTCAGCTCGCTCCTACATGGAGTCATGTACAGGCGGTACAAAGGACGTTTTCTTTCTTCACACGAAGATAGTTTAATTTAATACACGTGAAAGTAAACATTTAAAACGAACATATACGACCCATTTATGGTAACTTGATAGTTGATGGGTGTCTTAAACGTAAAAATATTCCAATGGATTAGCAACAGCAATAACATCTTTTTATTTCCTTTTATTGTTTGTTGTGCACTTTTGTAACATTCAATATATTTTACCTATTAATTGTTAATAATATGATTATCAATACGAGTAAAACTTAACTGACTTTTGATAGTTGGAGTTGGAGAAAACAAATTAAGATATAAAGTAGTTAAATTTTTTTTTTTGTGTGTGAGAGAGAGAGAGAGAGTAATAAGTGTAGGTGTTGTGAGGAGGAATGTTTAATTACCTGTGAGGCTTGTAGAGCAATTACTTAACTTCCTTCTACATCATGTGGGTAATTGGTCTTACAAAATCTCCAAGTAGATGGGTTACATCAAGGTCCGTTTGATATGGGATTGTAAATTCACGTGTGAAAATATTAGGCCTACCGTACCCATGCATTAAACAAATTTAAATAATATCTCTGCATTCGTGTTTTGTAGGATAAAAACTAACCACCCACAAAAGTGTTTTAGGTCCAGTCCCTACTTTTGAAAATATTGTTTAGTACTGTATTTAAAATTTTGTTCATATTCATATTTTGAATGCAATTAGTAATAACATTTACTGTATTAGTGTATATTATATACACTAAATATGGGGATCTATAAAATAGGCATTTGTAGGCCTATACTCTAATGTACTAAAAACATGCACAGCAAAAAATATTTAACATTTTCGTAAGGGTTCATCTTTAGAAGCAGTCGATTTTGAATCGGCAAATTTTGCAATCCAGGTTAATGGTTCAAATGTTTTGACAAAATTAAACTTTATGTAGGTGGCATTTAGTGGGTATTTGGTTGACATAATTGTGCCTCTCCCAATAAGTTAAGTATATTTTCTAATTCTAGATCATTGAGGTTACAGAATTGCATACAATTGGATGATTTAATTTATTTAGAAGTGAAGTATAAAAGTTCTTTATAAAACACATGGGTTGGAAGTTGTTTGTGTCTTCAATCGTCATTAAATATTTAATTTGAAAGCTGAAAAAACAAACTCTTTTTTGCTGCTATAAGTGCCATTCAGATTCATAATTAATATTATCTTATATACAAATAATTTGAAGTTATGTACATTATCTCTAGTATCTTGTTCTAAAACAAGAATAATATGACTCATTGCCCGTACATATTAAGATTTAATTTATTTGTGGTATCGATCTAGTGATAGTTTTCTTCAACCGTTTTTGAAAGCTACTGTATAAGTTGTAGGTAGCTTTAATTTATTTGTGGTATCGATCTAGTGATAGTTTTCTTCAACCGTTTTTGAAAGCTACTGTACAAGTTGTAGGTAGCTTTAATTTATTTGTGGTATCGATCTAGTGATAGTTTTCTTCAACCGTTTTTGAAAGCTACTGTATAAGTTGTAGGTAGCTTTAATTTATTTGTGGTATCGATCTAGTGATAGTTTTCTTCAACCGTTTTTGAAAGCTACTGTACAAGTTGTAGGTAGCTTTAATTTATTTGTGGTATCGATCTAGTGATAGTTTTCTTCAACTGTTTTTGAAAGCTACTGTACAAGTTGTAGGTAGCTTTAATTTATTTGTGGTAACGATCTAGTGATAGTTTTCTTCAACCGTTTTTGAAAGCTACTGTAGAAGTTGTAGGTAGCTTTTCAATCTTCCATCTAGATTTTTCCATGTGCAAATAATACTTACTGTTGAAATTACATATCAAAAATTAAATTTTAGATTTTATTTGACAGCTAGATGTTAGACTGTATCCAATTTGAGTAAAGGAGGTTGAAGACAAGCAAAGCACGTGAGGTATATAGACGTGGTTTGCGTTCAAAGTGCTTGTTTATGTTTCCGACAGCAAGGGTGGTGTTATGTGCAGGGAGAAGGGGGTGTTGGGATCAATAACTGCGGTAAAGAGAAAATGGGGGTGAGTAAAGTAGGGGGGGGGGCTTTACACCTCTGGCGACACTTCCCCCACAATTTCTCTCTCTTTCAGGCTAATTAAATGGAAATACCCGGAAATTGATGCAAATTCTCCCTGAGCTGGCTGCTTTTATAATTAATTCTTTGTATTGAATGCTGCATTTGATATTTTGTTGATTTATTGGAAAATGGGTGTGAATATTTGAAAACAAGGGTTTATTAGAGTTGTACTAGCAATCGCTTTTGAAATTAAAATTCATAAATGGAACTCCTGGAGTCCTCATTTACTAGTGAGATCCATTGATATTTATGTAAAGTAAACCGCCTATAATGTAAACTAGTGTATTTGTTGCTCAAAATCGAGCAATTGAAAAGAAGTAGAGTAGTTATTTAAAAACAAATATCTTATTTAAAAACTAATAAAAGTCATTGTTTCCGATGAGTTTAAAAGACTCAACTCATTGATTACGTACCTAACAGTTCCATATAATCAACATTTCTTGTATATATTTTATAATTTATCAAAAACTGATCTGGGATTTTTAGTGTATTAAGAAAATGTTTCCCACTTATAGCCGCATTAGGTTGTCCATGTTGGTCTTCGTCAATGTCTGCATGGTACCCCCCATTGTCGCCAGTACGTATACAAATTTCAGTCATTATCAGATTGTCCAGACTTTCTTGATTTTTTACATTGTAATATGTACGAATGTAAATTAAAATAGAAAACATTTAATTTCAACAAAATCAGTAAATGTACCCAATGCGTTTCATTGGATTAAAAAATAAATAACAGTAATTAAATTAACAGCTAATCAAAATGTAAACAATTATGTTCTTCATAAGGATAACATGGGAACTGTAAAAGCCCCTGGGACTTTTTAAAAAATGTAAGGCCAGTTTGCAAATCTATGCGACCCCCTCTTTCCAATGAGACGTCAATGGATAAAATCGGTTAAGAAATGGCGGAGGAGTTCAACCGACAAAGTTTCATGTAGCGTATTAATTATATAGATGGTGCATGTATACCTCAAATTAGTTGAAGGAGGAAAAATAAAAATTTAGAAGCCTGATGAATCGATATTGGAATAGGCTATTTAATTTTGAACTGATTATTTTTGAATGGGTGGGGTATGCCTTATTCCCTAGTGTTTGCTCACAGTGTCTAAGAAATAATGTATAGGTTTTTGTGTTCCTATGTCATTGGCCTTATGGTTTTTAAGGTAATATGGAAGGACCAACCTTGGTATTTATACTATATCTTCTGTCATAGCCATCCATTACTTGATAGCCCAATGAATGACAAATGGCATCCGGGGAATCTTTTATTTGAACATTTCACAAAAGATTATTAGTACTTTATTACCATAATAAGAAAAATCTTAATATTCTTTGGTGTTGCATTCTTTAGATATTTTGGTTGTAGTGCTTGCTTGACAATCAAAATGTGTTGATTCGATCCTCTGAAAATTCATTTAGTTTTAGGTGATATAAAATTGATCCCAGCGGTTCTTGTTCATTAGGCCTTAAATGGTTCAAGCAAAATAAATGATTCTTAGTCATAGAACCAAACAGATCATATCACTTTATTGTACAACGGCCCTACTCAAATTCAGCGTAGAATAAGCACCTCAGTCTGCTCTTGTGTCTTATGGGTAATGAATATAGTTGGTTTCTAATTGTAATTATGTGTTAAAAATATTAAATTTGATATCTCGCTATTAAATATCCATGATCAAAGCTAATATAGCTACTGTAATGCTGTCTCTGTGTGTGTAGGAGACGGTAGACGTGTGCGTGGGGACCAGTGTTGCCACCATTACAGAACCAGACTGTTTGGGACCTTGCGAGCCTGGCACCAGCGTGACACTGGAGGGCATCGTGTGGCATGAGACTGAAGGTAACCTAACCTAACATAAACAAATTCTTCCCTAACCTAACATAGTTTTATAACACTAACTAACCTTAACTCTTACCCCTCAACAAAATCCTCGCATAACCTTATCTAGTTGAAAATTGTTTGACAAATTGTCAACTCAAACGTAACGTAGATGAATCTTTACCTATACACGCACCTTTGTAAGTTAGCCTAACGTAACCTACTACGAGTTAAAGTATGAGAGGTAACGATTGACTTATGTTAGAGAAATATTCTGTTTACTCAGACTTCAGTTACAGTTTAACCAAACCTTACCTAACTAATGATTGACTCTTGACCAAACAAATCCTTCTCTAGTAACAAAAACCTAGTAAAAGAAACTGTCACTTTGAGTCAAAATTTCACACATTTCTCATAACTTTTCAAACACATATTCCCATTCCATTCACACAACCACCGCTAGATAAATCCTATCAGTCTTGAATTCTCGTTAAACAATTTTGATTACATTAGCCAGCCTAGTGGCTAGTGTCTCGGACTTGTTGTGAGAGGGACAATTCTGATCTCCAGCATATTCAGAGAAATCTGGGTTTGGACCACTTTCCTCTAAATGTGTTTGATTTTCTCAGTTACAATTTTAAAATTGAACCACATTTGTTTCTATCAGTGAGGAAGATAAGTACGGTATGTTTATGTCCAGTAATTGGCCTGTTGAACTGATAGATTCTTTGTTTTGTAGGAGTATTGGTAGTGAATGTTACGTGGAGAGGCAAGACTTACGTTGGGACTCTGTTAGATTGTACAAGGCACGACTGGGCGCCCCCCAGGTATGTTTGACTACAGTTTAATTACCCAACAAACAGATTAACCTCTGCTGTACCGTATAGTCATTTGTATATTAAATATGCAATTTTAAATAACAAACTTTGTTAGGGACTGTGAACACTCACTTTGTCATTTAATGCTTTCCAGGAAAAGACTCAATTAAATTTTATAACAAGATAGTAAAATTGGTTAGACCAATTTTCAGTTGCACATGTAGCCTAAACCAAAATGTCATATTTGCCTTAACATATAAGTAGAAGCATAAAAAAATATATTAAGTGAGTAAATGTACAAAATATGATTCCAAATGTTTTTAAGTTTTAATTAAACTATCAAAAAATAGTTTTGGCATCTTTTTGTTTTCAGATTTATTAGATATATTTTGATTAGCCTAGTTAGTCCTACTAGTTTTCTAGCTCATTGAACATTGATGTTTTCAGGTTCTGTGATTCTCCCACAAGCGACTTGGATGCAAGAACGCCAAAAGGGAGAGGGAAAAGAGGCCGACAAGCAACTGGAGCTACAAACAACAACGACCTCAGTAACTTTACAGAAACTCGGTCGTCAGTCCACAGCAAACTGCGAAGTAACAACAACGGTGGAGCTAAGGGACGTAGAAATCCCAGTGGTCCAGGGTCGCCTACTCCGTTTGCGCCTCCCAAAACTGACACAACACCAGGAAAGAGAAAACCCAAAGCACCCGAGGAGGAGGCACCTGCGAAAAAGAGTAAACCTCCCCCGACACCAACACCTACACCTACACCTACACCTCCTTCTTCATCATCCTCTAGTCCTCCCCCATCTCCAGTACTGCTGGAGTGTCCAGAACCAAACTGTTCCAAGAAGTACAAACACATCAATGGACTCAAGTACCATCAGAGTCATGCACACGGAAATGCAGATGATGAAGAGACCAAGGAATCTACTGGGAGTATGTCAGAGGCTGAAGAGGCTCCTAGTCCGGCACCGGTTCTTATCAAGAAAGAGGAGAACTCTCCAGCCGAAGTATTGGCTCCTAAGACTCCCACACCGACTCCGATGGAAGTTCCTGAACCTTCCCCTTTGCAACCACCCTCTACACCAACACCGACCCCAGAGATTGAACCTCCACCTACACCGACGAGCCCAGAGAAATCGGTTATCAAACCGGGAGTATTGAGGTTTGGAACTCAAGAAGAAGCTTTGTTGACGATTCCTACAGTGCCAGCACCGATAACAAGGCCAGTTCAAACCAATAACATTCAGCCGACATCGCCGAGACAACCGTCACCAGCGCCGACTGTCCAAGCACCCATCCAACTTGTGATCAACCCTCAGACCCAGACTCCAGGTGTCACATCTCATGTCGTCCAAATAGCCCAGACCCTGGCTCAACAAAATACTAAAGTACCCCAGTTTAAAGTAAAGCCCACATCAGTCTTGATGCCTGATGGGAAGAAAGCTGACAAACCTGTTAACCATAAGAAAAAGAGCAGAAAGTCACCGGCTGGAAGTCCGCATCCGCATCCTATTTTAGATCCTCAACCTCTCGGGCTTGAGACTGGAGGAAGAGAAGATGTGCAGAGTCCTGCGTATTCAGATATTTCAGATGACGGAGCTCCGGTATTAGAATCACAGGTAGATGGTTCTAAGAACAAACCTACAACAGGAGACAAGAAAGTGGAAGTGAATCCTGGCCAGTCACCTCACTCGATCCAGCATTACAACATGTATCCTTACTACGGACAACCTCCTTACTTGGTTCCGTCAGTGACAACAGAAAATAAACCTAAGGAAAATACCAATGACAAGAGTTTGGAAGCTAAGCCGGGATTGGAAAAAGAAAAGAAAGAAGGAGGTGCCGTTGGTGGAGAGTTTCAACAGAAAATGTTACCTCAGCATTACTACTCCTATCCATATGTGCCTGGATATCCTTACAACATAGATCCAAGTTACACAGTACCGATAGTCCCGGAAGAGAAAGCACCAGTAATAAAAGAAGAAAAAAGCCCTGGACCTAGTGAAAATGTTAAACAAAACCTTCCACCTGTTTCAACAACACTGCATGTACCGAACCCGAATAAAATAAAAACTGAACCTGGAACCAAAGAAAAACACGCTAATGAAAATCATCAAATTCTAAAAGAAAGTATTGAGATGAAAAATCAAATGACTCCTTCCTATTTGTATTCCCGACCTCAACAACAAGGCCAGGCGGTTCAACAGGAGGAAATGAGAAGGTATTACATCTACTCTCAGGACAGAAGAAAAGAACATCCAGGGCAAACTGAAAATCCTCAGTTAAAAGCAACGCCTCCGCCCCAACCAAAACAATCTGTACCGGTGCCGAGTCCTAAACACAAGGAGAAACTTCCAGAAGAGAAAAAGGAAGAGAAAGTGAAGCAGGAAGGTGTAAAACCTACGATGGAGACTCAAGGCCCCCCACCTCCTCCTACCTCATCCTACGCTTACATCCACCCAGGTTACATGCAATCACCTCACTACGGGCCGATACCATTTGACCCGGCGAGCCACTCGATGTACGCTCGTGGCATCAACCCAATGATAGTGCCCAGTCCTTACTCCAACAATCCTTACATGCATCCTCAGCTTCACCCGCCTATGCCGAGGTATCATGCACCGGAAGATCTCTCTAGGACTCCGCCTGGCAGCACTAAAGCTCTAGACCTATTGCAGCACCACGCTAGCTACTATACTTCTCACAAAATTCACGAACTACAAGAAAGAGCTTTGAAATCGCCAACGCCGAAAGCCACTGCTGCTAGCGCGTCTCCGTCAGCGGAGAGGCAAAACGTAGCGGTTCCTGGACCTCAAGGGACTCCCACCTCAACTAGTCAGCCGCAGCCAACGCCTTTGTCCTCCGGGAAGTCTTCGTCGGAGCGGGAACGTGACGGGAAGGACAGTCGATCGCCCCCTCCACAGAGACACGTCCACACGCACCACCACACACACGTAGGATTGGGCTACCCTATTCTGACTGGCCAGTACCCGGCCCCGTATGGAGGTAAGCCGCTGTGAGCTACCTAGTCCATTTGTGTTGCTACGGTAGTGTAGCGACGTTGACCGTACGCCATATTGGTGCCAGAACCCCCTCATTCACCTGAAATCGCTTTTTGTTACCAAAAAAGTAGTTTTGTTTACTTTGTGCTTGAGGATGCAAAAAACTAGGTTAGGCGAGTCTGTGATAAATTTAACGGCTGCGGATTTTCGAGAGGTGTATTGTACATATGCGTTGTCTCACCTCTTTGTGTTCACTGTGGTTTTTTTTTATACTGAAACAGATGGAATGCCAAAATGATCTCATCCTAAACCTATGTTTATAATTTTGTCGAATGTTTCTTTCATTTATCACATTGAATGTTGGGGGTCTTTTGTGTATTTGTTTTCGTGTTTATAGTCTTGTAATTATGTGTACATTTAACGAATTCTGTGTGTAAAATTTGTAAAATGTACTATGTAACTTTATGTAAAGTTGTACATAGATATTTTGAATTAAAAGAGTGAACATTTGTTTTTTTGTGAATATTTAACAAAAAAATTACTCTATATATTTATGGATGTTATATTTTGTTGTTAATTTTTTCATGTTTCTCTAGTTAAAATTGTAATTTTTTTCAGGAAGTACTGGAAAAGTTATTGAATACTTTAGGGACATTAGAAATTAAAATCTTATTGTTAGTTCTAGTTTGTGGGTTACTTATTCAATATTTCAGTTCATGCTTTTTTGGAAGGAAAACATTGTCACTTTTCATCAGCTATACTATACGTATTTAATTATTTATTTTGAAAATCTGGCACACCGTTTTAGTTGAAACAGTGGTGTAGTTTTTATCAGTTTCAACCACTCTACATATTTTATTGTTTATATTCACTACATAATTTTCCTCAGACTGACTTAAATCAATGAGTAAAATTTCAGAATTTACATCTTTGCCTAGTTCGTGTAAATAACATTGGCTTTAACACACGCTTAACAAATTATGGGTAATAAAGGCTGAATTTTTAGTGTTGTAGGCAATTGTAAAAGTTATCATATTTGGTAATTTTATGTTTAATTTTATATTTGGTGTTAAGTGTATTGTATGTATTGGAAACTTAAAAGTGCTTCTTAACCTCAAATCAATCGGTTTTACTTATTAAAAATTAGCAGAAATATTTAAATAGTATTTAACTTATTCTTCCCAATTTAAATTGTATTTTATTCCTTCTGGACTCTACCTCTCTACCTCTCTACTATTTTATGCCTGCTAATAAATTTGAATCCATACTTTTAACATTTTGTCCTAACTGAGAATCAAACCTTAACAAATTTTTCAATGTGTAAAAACATAAACAACATTAATCTTCAAATGTATGTTCTGTCTTTTAACAACGAAGAAAAAAAAATAAAAAGGAAAACTAGCAGCTTTTGCTATTTTTATGTATTATAACATTTAAAAGAAATAAAGAAACCAATACGTTAAAATTTTATTAAACATCAATTTTGCAATACACATAGCTTAAATGAGATGAAAAAATAGATATTCTCACCTACTAGATACTTTGATACTCTGGATCCTCTCATCTCTCTAGGATAGTATTCTAGATACTCTTACATATCTAGGAGTATATATTATTGGACCAGGCAGAAAGTGTAATTCCCTGCTTGTTTAGGGTCAATGTAGGAGCTTTGATAGAACTAGTCATTCCGTCTTGAAGCTGTAGCCATTGTTGAATTGAGACTCTAGTAGTGAAGTCGCCATTGATGCAAACTGATTTCTGTTGACTACACTGAATTTCTAACAAAGCCAAGTTGAACTACAGTACATTGTACCCTACATCAACTATCACATACCAAATTTTAGACTGGAAATAATTCTTTTTTGTAGTAGGTAGTTGTTTTGCAGAAGTTCTTTTTCTGTTCTCAGATAAGTAGCAAGGAAATGACTTTTTTACAATAGTACGCCCTGTGATATCTCATTAAACTATGTTCTTGCATGGAAGAATTGGCTACAGCTGGTCTATATAGATGGTAGAGGTGGAGTCCAGTGGTGTGGTCGTGTCTGATCGTGTTCTGTCTTGTAGCTGCCGTGCTCGCGTCTCAACAAGCGGCAGCAGTAGCAGCGACGGTCATCCCACCGTTCTCACCCAAGTGATCAAACATTCCAACGCTTGTATGTATATAGTGTATAAACTATCTTATCATTTACGTATTATTTTCAAACCCTCTAGAGTGTATAGACGGAATCCGATATAGATGTCAAGCGAGTTACTAACGACTGTCGCGCTTTCCAGTTTTAGTGGGACGCGGGACTCAGCTGTGTCAATGTACCTTAAGCTTATAGCGAGGACAGACCTCAAAACAAAATTATCAAATATCTAATCTACTATTGTAACGCTATTTTCAACTATTCGATGTACGTATAGAAAAGTTATTCTTGTTATAGATTTGGATATTCGATCGAGCTGGTCGTATCGCAAAATTACTGTATTTTCAATACGCAAAAATGTAATAACGGTTTGAATGTATGGTGGTTAAGGCTTAAGACCAAATTGTACAGAAGAAATTTCAAATTAAAATTATTATTTCTTGGGAAGCTGTGTACTTATTTTCCTACAAATCCTGTGTGTATTAATGTTTTTGGTCTTGGAGGTAAACAAATTGGAGGCCACAATAAAATATAGGTCAACAAAGACTTGTGAATTAAAAGAATATATTTTGCAAAGTGAAATATGATTTGATTTAAGACAGTTTTAATTTTACATAGCCTAATGATTACAACTTGACCTAATAAAAACAATTATTAAAATGTGGAGAGAAATAGGCATGATATTTATATTTTGGTCCATAAATGAAATTAAGCAGAGTGTGCTTCTAACCAAGCCAAACTGAAAGGACGATTAATATAAACAAAAGCACTCTTCTTGTTTTGTATTGTGAACCTGTACATAATGAAATTATTGAAAACTAAACTACTCTACGACCAGAGAAATTTAAATTAAAAATTGGCTACAGCTGCTTCATATATAATGGGATGTCTTATTTTTGTATAAAAAAGTCAATGATATCCTATATTGTTCAGGGAATTATTTTTCAAGGCTATGTGCTTCCATGGTCATACACTGAACATTCTCTGTTTGCGACAATCATGCCAAAATCAATAAAATTTATCTATTCACATTTTGGCATCAATTTAGAATGTCATCTTCAAGGTTACTTGACTTCTGTCCAGTTGTTGTATCAAGCGATTTTATATGTATCAAATCATTGACCTATATACAACTATGCAGAAATTAAGACATCCTCAATATGACACTACATTAGGCCAAAATGTTGGTGAATAGATTTTGTTTTGTACAAGGACTATAAAAAAATAAGTTATTATCGTAATCTCTCTAAGTTCTAAAGAAGTACCGGTACTGAAAGTTGTCTGTTCCAACTGCATTATGATGATTTAGTTGCAAAATAGTATGTTTCATTACTAGGACCGAAAGTGGCATTTTCCGACGCGCTTTCAAGTTTAATGTGTGAGGAAAAGCCGAACATAGGAAAACCAAATTTCACGTGCGAGGCAAAGCCGAGCAGGTGAGGGTTATTTTCACGTACGAGGCGAAGCCGAGAACGGGAATAATGGAGCAAGTGTCGGAAAAAAGCTTTTGGTCCGAGATAGAGGTGGGGATAACTGTCAGAAATGCCCAGCTGTTATTTGCCCAGCAGCTGCGTTTCGATAACTGTTTAAAATAACGGTTATCAAATAACTCTCAGCCGAGCTGAGCAGTACTGGCAACTGGCAAGAAACTCAGGCTGCCCGATAACCGTCGCCGCTAGGCAGTTATTGGATAACTCCAGTTGTCGATCAGCAGTATGGCTATCTACTGCGCCACAGTTGTTACGCGGCAGTTTGAGAGACGGTTACCGTCGCTCGTCGCTGCCTCGCAGTTATTTTAATAACTCCAGTTGTCGTTCAGCCGTATGGCTGCCTGTGCCTACTGCCTACTGGATAACTGTCGCTGCCTCGCAGTTATTTTAATAACTCCAGTTGTCGATCAGCCGTATGGCTGCCTGTGCATATTGGATAACCGTTGCTGCCACACCACGCAGTTATTTAATAACTCTAGTTGTTAGGCAGCCGTGTATGTGTTTGCTGCGCTACAGCAACAGTCTTGAGTGGCAACAACCATTACTTTTATGAGATTACTAAACAAATCCGATATTATATACAGCCAAGTGGTTATCTTATTTGCTACAAAATGTTAGTTAATGTCAAAAATACACAAATAAAAATATTTTAAACCGATAGGCAAACGCTCCGTTACTAAAAATAACAATTGCACAGCAGAGCAGACGGTTATCGATAACTCCTAGTTTTCGATAACAGCTGTTGCCGATAACAGTTATCGTCCAATAACCGTTATTAAATAACGGCTGCGTTATTTGTTCCCCACCTCTAGTCCGAGATATGAACGATACTTTTCATCACGACGCAAAAATACACACATGCAGAATAACAATTTCAGTAGTATTAAAATATGTTTAGACCACTCTTTATCATTGAAAATACACTTCACAACTTACGTGTATGGTTTCATAATTGTAGATTATCTAGATAAATGTATTAAAAATACTTCGTCACTTACGTTAATTAACTTAACATTTTGTAATTTGTACCAGTATCTTTGTACCAGTAAGCTTTCTGCATTTCTCTTCTTATCCTTCCCGTGATTTATCAGGTGAAATGTGATAAGTTAAGCTGTTCTCATCAAATCTGTAATTTTAGACATTATTTGAGCAATTTCAAACATGCACTATGTTAAAAACACAGCAAAACAAACTAATGCTTGTTTCTGTATAGATTTAGAGATTGTGCAACAATAAAAACAGCTGTTTCAAATCATTAAAACGTAACAAAACACTAGCGTGCGTAGTGAGTAAAGGCAGAACTAATCGAGAGCAAGGGAAAATCAGCTGATCGATTTTCCCTCGCCCTAAATTAGAGCTTGGGAAACAGCAACTTTCATTGATGACAGCTGTTATCAAAAATAGTTACTTTCGACGAGGAGTGATGAAAAATAGTTTTTTTTTTACACTCCAATCACTAGGTAATATTTTGTCCATTTTCAATCAGTCTTATTCTTTATTTTGCCTCCCAACAGTGGTCCTATGACCAGCATCACCAGTTTCTTGACCAGCCAGACAGTGATGATAACAATAGCCGCCACAAGAGCTATGACATCCAACAACAACAGCTGATACCAAGGTAGGTCTTTGGCTGGACTGTACAAGTGAGGTGCTCCGTGGTGAGAGATGAGGTATTCAGTCCAGTACACTGCCTGTTGTGCAGCTGTCTGAGGAGAGTCTACAAACAGCTTACCCAGCTTCTCTATGTTGTGCTTGTACCTGCACATCACAAAACATCTGAGTAAATTTCTCATCACTTATCTATTTTGGCATTGCTGTTACATTAGTGAACCTTAAAACCACAAACACTTGAAAAGAACCGGGGTAGGCCTATTGGATGATAAACATAAACAAATGACGTTTTTGGCCCGAAAATAACATTGCTTAAATGGAACTGCCAACACATATGTTGATTCTATTATAGGATTCGGGCCAACTACGTCATGATCCATACCGGGTTTTATTCTAGTATTGGTGCTTCAAACAGTATGAGGTAAGAGGAATCACTGACTGATGGCAAGGGGTAGACACCTGCCTTAAGAAGAGCTTATAGAATGAATGTTGCTGTTTAGCAAGTAACTGGAGTTTGGGTAACAAAACAAACAAGCTCTGAGGTACTCATCAGGGATACAAAAAGCCCAATCGTGGCTGACGCCCCTTGAGACAAGATCTGCCTCAATTAATCAACTAAATTCAAACTTGTTTTGATATAAGAATGCTGAATTAGATTTATACAAAGCTGACACACCTGGGGCTTATTTGTAGGCCAAGATGGGTAAAGGGTGAGTACTGAATGAGATGTTATTAAGATCAGCTGGTTTTATAGCCAAGGCCATTTTTTAAAACTATATCATGAAGGACATAAAATCCAAACGCTATAGAAGCTATAGAATTTTTTTCAGGATGAATTAGTCAAATTTCTGGTTGCAGGGCAATCACTATATCCTTTCTGCCTAGTTGGCTTTCAAGTGGTTTTCCTGGTAGAGGAAAAGGTATGAAAGTGTGCACTACTCACATTGGATTGGAGAGAATCTCATTGATTCCATTTCTCAAGCCTTCAGCGGTCAATTGTCCCACATCCAGGATCTTGGTCAAATTGCGCCTCACCAGTTTTTCTGCATTGCCTCTCTGATCCAGAAAGACTGGGAGTGCTAGGATCGGAACTTGGCGGAAGATTGCTTCCTGTGTACTCAGAAGTCCACAGTGTGTGATAAACAACCGCATCTTTGGGTGAACTGAAAATATGGAAAAGACGGATATTTTCTGGTAAAGCCAGATTTTCAAATTTTTCAAAATAGATTCTGCTTTTCTGACAGTCTTGAGATAATGTGTATATTATGATTACTGCTATAAATGTACATATTTACTTGTAAATTTCTCATTCAAATTCTATGTCCTTAGATCTAGCTGAAGGCTGTTTGGGCATGAGGGAACCCTAGCGGTAACCTCAGTAGCCCCAAGTAGCCACCACTGTTGATTTTGACATTTTTTAAAATTACCACTTGCAAATACTACATTATTTTTCAGAATCATTTAACAACCATATATTTTAATTTCTAACTCAGGTACCTAATACAAAGAATATAACATTTTTTAAATTAATTTTTGACCAAACATTCATTAATCTTAATTTACCTAACATGTCTCCTTGGGGCAGCCATTTGCTGATTTTCACATTTGAAGGAACATTTTTCAGTTCTTTGTCCCACTTCCACAACACTCTTTGTGGCAACCCTTCAAATGCTTGAAGAATTTGGGTTTCAAAATCTTGAGAAAACCAGGTGGAATCAATGTTAGTTCCAAAACAGATCAGGATAACTCCATTTTCTGCTCCATCCATGAATTCTTGGATATCCTTGAAAAAATGTTCAGAACAATTGAGTAAGCTTGATGTATTGATGGTTGGTTATAGGTTTCAATTTTTGATTAAGGATTTATTAGTGTACTAGCTGTACCCGCGGGCTTCGCCCCGTTTAACTTCATAAGTGAGCTTGTTCACATGGCTCAATCACGTCCTGGTTGAAGTTCGTTCGCTACGCTCACTCACCTTTAGGTTGGAGCTCGTTCGCTGCGCTCACACGTCCTGGTTGAAGTTTGTTTGCTACGCTCACTCACCTTTGCGGTAGGAGCTCGTTCGCTACGCTCACTCACCTTTACGGTTGGAGCTCGTTCGCTGCGCTCACTTGCCTTCAGGTTAGCTCGTTCGCTACGCTAACTCGCCTCCGGATTGAAGTTCGTTCGCTACGCTTACTCACTTTTGGTTTAAAATTAGCTGTTGTAAAATATTAAAAAAAATAATAGTGCTGCACTCTGTTGGTAATCCTTGTAACTTTAATGCTATTTAACATCATAGAACAGAACCAACTTGTTTAATTGAAACAGCTGTTAAGATTCATTAATTCCATTTAAATATGAGTACTCATTAGGTTAACATGGGAAACTCCAGACCACTGGGGCGGAGCCCGAGAGTCCGATCAGAATAAAAACCTCTTAGTTTTCCTATTTAATGCCTAAAGAATCAGTGTACCAAATTTCAGCCTTCTAGGTAAGTGGGAAGTGGGAGAATTAGTGATGAGTGAGTCAGTCAGTCAGTCAGTGAGGGCTTTGCCTTTTATATATTATATCGACTAGCTGTACCCGCGGGCTTTGCCCCGTTTAACTTCATATGTGAGCTCGTTCGCATGGCTCAATCACGTCCTGGTTGAAGTTCGTTCGCTACGCTCACTCACCTTTAGGTTGGAGCTCGTTTGCTGCGCTCACACGTCCTGGTTGAAGTTTGTTCGCTACACTCACTCACCTTTACGGTTGGAGCTCGTTCGCTGCGCTCACTTGCCTTCAGGTTAGCTCGTTCGCTACGCTAACTCGCCTCCGGGTTGAAGTTCATTCGCTACGCTCACTCACCTTTTGGTTTGAAATTAGCTGTTGTCAAATATTAAAAAAAATAATAGTGCTGCACTCTGTTGGTAATCCTTGTAACTTTAATGCTATTGAACATCATAGAACAGAACCAACTTAGTTTATTTATTTGAGCCATTTACAAGCAGGGTGTGCTAAATAGAAAATGGGGGGGGGGGGGTGTTGAAAATAGAATCATGGACTTGTACACATTCAATGAGTGTCCCAGTGGGATAAACTTGGACCATGGTAATAATTTAACCTTTTAATTTGTCAATAATTAATTGGTCCGGAAACACTACAACAAGAACTATGAGGCATGAGGTCTACTGTATATAGATGGAATGTCTACTTCAGTATCCAAGTCAATCACGATACAATCTCCCTGAATTAATCTATGATTAAAATTCAGTGTGCTACACTGTCTTGTAGGATTCATTGATTGTCTATTCTCAATCAACATGTTCACATACCTTAGGCAGTGGCTGAGGGTCTGAGATGTGCAGTCCGGCAATGCCTATGACACCAGGCAGGAACGGACGTGGCTCATTGAGAGCTGGATGGTGATTCACTATCACAACGTTTGCTCTCTTGGCTATATCTCTCACATGAGGGAGATTCTTCCCAAACACCTCCTGCTTCATTTTCTCTTGAAACGGATCAAACTTGGTACGGACAAACCATTCGACAAACAGGTAGTAAAACGTGTTCTCACACCTTTCCCAAAACGTCATGTGCTGATCAAAGTCGGAGATCATGTTAGGTACGTAGGCTGGGTTGAAGAAGTTCCCGAGTCGAGACGTCATCCACTGAGGTGTTCCGTACGTCGTGGCAAGAAGCAGTGGAGGATTACCGAACAATGGGACAAGACCTAACAGAGCCTCAGCGCTCCCGTCATCATGTATGATCAGGTCGAATGGCTTTTCAAAATCTCTGTACTCATTGATCAAGTCTTTCAGAGCTTTAGAGCGCATAATTGGTTTAGTAGAGATTTCCAACCAGGATTGAAAGAGGTACATGGATCCGATTTTTGAATCTGGAGATAATGAGGCCCAGCTATCACTGAGGTCTTGTGATGCTTCAAATGCTTTGTATACATCTTCGGCTATGAATGTCTTCAAGTTTGGAATTGTGATTTTTGGGTGGTCCACTCCAAACACAGTAATCTGAAATCATTGAAAATAGTCTTTTTCACTACCCTACTATGAGTTGAGCTGTTTTCGTTATGTGTTTACAACCTGCAAAACATCATATTTTCAACAGCTGTCTATTGTTTACTACCGAAAGTAACTTTGTTTACAACCAAAAATTTTCCAATGTCAACAATATCAAAGGTTTTAATTTTCAACAACTAAAGTAAATATTACCAATGACTATTAATACAACTTAGTTATATATAACTTAACTATGAATACTTCTTTATCCAATAGTCAATGATATTACCTAACTAAACCCATTGAAGACATCACCTAAAAAATTCTATGAGTTTTGTGAAGAAAATAAATATTCTTTTCGCAGTGTAGCGAAAAGTAACATTCAAAACTCGAGTGAAAGTGGGTCTATACATGTTCTCGACCATTTAAAGTGCTCGATAAATATCATACTTCAAACATGGTCTCAAATATGTAAGGACTCACTTTCTTGTTATGTTATACTATTACAAAAATACAACTTCCAAAACTCAATCAAGAAATTAAGTTTCAATCTCATAACATGTTTTCATTTGATAATGAAAAATTATGTTTTAATTCAGTGCGGCTACATGGTAGTTTAATAAGGCCAGCTTTTTATAAGCAAACAAGAAACGAAGAAAATAAACTTATTAAAGACTAATGAATAAGGTACTTGTTTCATTGTTAAAACGTTCTTAATTAAATCAATTAAATAATTTACTTAAAACTCAGTTTTAAGTAAACTTAATTTAATTTCATTGATTTTAAATCAGTATCCCTAATTTTAAATCATTTATGTTGTAATTCATACACTATCAATGAATGATCTATCATTGACTATATGTTTAAGGATATCAGCATATCAGGTAACACCATCAATGAATCTTTTTCCATGATATAAATTGTTTATATTCCTTTCAAATTGTATATAAAAAACCTTAAGCCAGACCTACATATACAACTGTTGTGAAGATGGCTGAAATGTAAAATGAAACGCTACTACTATTCTTAATGAATGTGTAAATAAAGATTATTTGTCTATTGTCTATTGTCTATTGTCTATACAATATATACTTTGCTAGACTAGAATGGTAGCTGCCCTATATAAACTATTTTTTGCAATTAAACTGAAGTATATGATCTATGGTTTTTAAATAGTATCCCACATGTGTGCTAACCATGTAGACCCTTTGAAGAAAATAATGTACTTGATTTTTTTTACTATTGACCAAATGCGGTACCAACCTGATAAAACAGTCATAAATCTAAAATTTACCAGATTTTGCTCTCATTGCTCAAAATAAACCTCTCTGAACTTAAACATGCTGAGGTCAACTGAAGACCTTGTGGTATTGATAATTGGACCACTCAAATACATTGAATGAGATTACGCTTGGATAAATCTACAACAAACCGTGAGGCAGCCCTTTAAAAAATATTATTTCCTATGCAACAATATTTTACAATATTAAATGGTATAGTTTTAAATATCAACCTCTGGCTACAAACCTGGTGACCCCTCTCAGCTAATACAGCCATGAATCTGTAGCACCAGAGTGAATGGCTGTGAGATGCCACAGCACAGAGAGCGAGAATCTTAGCAGTCAACGCAATCTGTAGACATTGAGCTGTACCTAGCACAACTAGCAGCCATTTCATGGTGTCTGCAACATGTTACATTAATTACTTCAAACCTAAACCCTATTCGATGAATCTTTTTCATGCTACCAAAGTCCCACGTCCAAGAATGTGTAAACAAATCGAATAGTCAAAATTAAGAGCTATTGGGCGCAAGGGAACTCCTGGTGATGAGCTCAGTGGTTCCCCAAGTAGTCGCCGCTTTCGCTTGTAGCACAGTGGGCCAGCGTAATCAGCCACAGAAGGTACCTTATTCCCCCCATAATAAAGTACACAAACCTATCGGGTCAAAGGAAACAAATTGTAAAACATCCAACAAGTATAGTTGTCAGGCTAAGAAAATCACTTTTTTCAGGAACTAAAATTCAAAATAATTAAAATGTTATTTCAATGTAACAAGTTTATTACAAACTTTTAAATATTGGAATGAAATTACAATCATCTTCTTAAGCATAACTCTTTAGATATAATTGATAATTTTTACTTTTGTTGAGCTTGTTTTTCAGCCCCCAGATGTACCAACATTTGAACAAATTACCACTTTCAAGCTCCATATGACCAGTGCTCGATTTGTAAAATATGAGGGGCTGGAACTGCAACCTATTTAATCTGGTTAGTTACCATATTTGAGCCAATATTTTTATCTTTCCAAAAGAGAGGTACCGGAACTCCTTTCCACCTCAAATCGAGCACCACATACGACCCACATTTTTTTCCAGAATCATTAAACAACCCTACATTTTAATTTCTAATTTAATATCTGTCAATCCAATGAAAATAAAGTTATTTCTGAGCTAAGCTTTCTTGAGGTATTCTACAAGCATAAACAGTAAACTATATGTTTTAAGAGTCCTTAGAGGCTAGCGGCCATCTTGGATAATTTCAAACAGCTGCTGAAGAGTTAATTATCATCCAAAAATAGTTTTTTAAACACCAAAGTTTTTATAATTTTTTTTAAATATCTTGCATGAGGTCAGAAATTTTCTTTGTTGTTTTGAATGATTTCCAAGTCCATGGAAGCCAACTACCATCATGGATTTGCCCACCGTAAGAAGAATGTTAATTTTGTTATTTTTAAACAGCCGCTGGAGAGTTATTTACCATCTCAAAATATTTTTTCAAATAACAAAGTTATTGTAATTTAAAGATCTAGTATACTGCCCGATTAAAAATTTTCTTTGTAATTTTTAATTGTTTTATGAGTTGTCTATTCTTCAAGAACTCTTAAGAGTAAAATAAGTTCCTACACTACCATGATATTTAATCTAGTGATGTGCATTACAATTGTGTATAACTTCTGGTGTTAAAGTAACGTTTATTAAATGAAAAAACTGTGTTAATGATAGAGAACACACTGTATTTGTACACAGTGTGAGGTCTATTTGTGTCAGCCATGGTCCTATAGACATTATGAGCCTTTTATGTAACAAATCACCCCTTATTTTAAAAGATCAAAAGAGCTCTATAAAATGAGATATTTTATTAATTAGTCTAGCACAAATAAAATAACTGTAATTTTGTTAATTCATTTGTAGCCAAAGCTGAAATCACTGTAACAATTATTGCACAGAATTCTTTTTTTTTTCTTAAATGTTGTGGTATTTTATCTGAGAAATAGTCAACTGTTGTTGCATTGGATGGATATTATTTAACCAAAATAACATTTCTGATCTTGAATAGAAAAGATAATGTTATAGTATTTCACACTTTCATCTTCAACAATACTCTTGTTCTATATCTCTACTAAACACTAAGTTTGAGAGATAATTATTTATAACCAACAGCTTATTATAGGCTCTGTACTGTCAAAACATAAGGCAAGTATCATTTGATGGAATAAAAACCACCAATAGAATAGGTACTCACAATATACACTATTAACACATTTGCAATCAACACAACACAGTTAAAGGACAAACACCAATAAACCAAACATACTATAAATTGTGAAACTATTTCACTAGGTAAAAAGTGTTGTGTAAAAGCACAAGAAATATAGATAGGTACTCACTGTCAACAAGCCTGGTGAAGCAGAAGATAAGGCTATTGCCTCAATCAGCTGTCTTGGGATGGAGTGTGGAGATGAGTGCTGTAATTTTGACCTTGGAAAAACTCCTTCCACAGAAGGTCATTACCATGTTGTAAAGAACCACACCTAATCCATCATTGCCTTTTTGTTTGTGGGCTACAACATTGACTGCATATACTGAGTATACATGATGGTCTGATTCACCCTGTACATTTTCACCTAGAATCGCGAAATAATATTATACCCCCCTTAATCACATACGAAGAATTCATTTAAAATATTTAAAACATGATCCAAGCACAGGGTATTCCAGAAATTAAGGTCACGGGTTCGAATATCAAAATTTCTTTATGTAAACTTTTATATACATTGTAAAATTTTTTTTAAGGAATTGCCTAAGCCTTGCTCTAAAGCAACATTTTGGTGAAAACAGAACTCAATTATCTCAATCAAAATGGGGGCCATTTTTGTGAATTTTTCGTGTATTGATGTACGTGGATTCTTTGTATATATGATTTAGGGGGGAATAATTTTATTTTGTGTTTCTGGTACTCCTATAAAAGTATGTGCACGTTTGATTCAGAGTCTGTTTCACCCTGTGTAGTCAATTGGCTACAATAATACAAGAATGACTGTGTGAGCAATTTTTTATAGGTAGTGTTTTACAAATGTAATTTTTAAATAGCGGTATCGTAGCCTACATAAAACAATTGAAAAATCAAAACTATTACAGTAAGCAGGGTATATTCAGACAAGACTGTGATACAAAAAGAGTCATCTCAAAGATTATGTAACTAATGGAAATACTCACATGCGTACATAACAGTTACATTTATGATCAAAATTTCTTGAAAATATTTTATCATTTTTCAAAAGCTGAACTTGTTTTTTTAGTGTTTTCCACAAATGTTTCTTACTCATAGCCCTTCTTCGGTTCTGCCAATGATTGCTCAAAAAATACAGTACTGTGTAAACTCAGTTTGCTTATTTGGTGGAATATATCAAATTGTCCAGGTTTTCTCACTTCGTTCCATTGTAATATGTACGCAAACCCAAATTCAAATAGTAAATATTTCATTTCAACCAAGTCAGTAATATGTTATGTTTGCAGCACTCGTTTCCTTAAATTGTAACTTAAATACTAAGCAATTATATTATCCAGCTAACCATAATGTAAACAAATATATTCTTCATATATTTGTGGATAACATGGAAACTTTTCCCAAGGGACTTTTTTCAAAAACTTAAGGTCAGTTTTGCACATCTACACTACACGCTCTTTCCAATGTCGTAAATGTCAAAATCGGTTAAGAAATGGCAGAGGAGTACAACCAAGGACACACTAAAAAAATGTTTTTTTAGTGTGGCCTTGGTACAAATGATAAATTTCTAAGTTGGGTTGGCGCATTAATTATATAGATAATAATAATCTTTTAACTGTCATAAAACAAATTAGCATTGACAAAGCCATACAATACAGAGACTGACATATAGTCAACATGATATATTGGCAATAACATTTACACAGAATAGGCTAATAATGGAAGTGAATAATCATTATAACTAACTATATTTTTGGTCAATTTGTTTACTCTACTACTTACAAATAATTTTATACTTATAAATTATTTATGTAGAGTGTATAGTCAGTGGCTACAATAGTGCAAGAATGACAGTGGGAAAAAATGTGTGAAGAATGTGTTCAGATCAGACTGTAATAATTCATGGTCGTCGTCTTAATTAAATGTTTGTAAACTAGTAAAACTTACATACTATGTAGATGATACAATTTTTTTAAATATTTTATCCTGATCTTAAACAACTTGAAGAGTTAGCTCAAAACTCAATTTCTCTATTTGGTAATCTAATGGCTTCCTCTTAAACAAAGATAAAACTCAAAAAAACTGTTTTTGGCCCAGGCGGACCATGTGAATTAAATACTGGTAGTACTAGAGGTCCTTCAGTGGTTGAAAACTCAACCAAAAATATGAAATGTATAGACTTTTCTATTTTCAACCCTTGTTGTGAATAAAATATGTGATTGAAATTTCTTCCCATTTGTTTTTATTTTAGGCGTGCGATTAGTAAATTCTACTACTACTACAGTATAGGAAAAAAGTGCCTGACAACATGTTCATGATTCATTTTCTTATGACAAAGGGCTACCACGCAAAGAGAGGGGAATTTTAAAATTTAAATTCAAAATAATAAGTTTGAATGCTTTCCCTTTATTTACATATGCTAATTAAATTTCTTTATAATTTTGAAATATCTAGCAAAATTTTAGGTAGGCCCGGACCTACCTGGCCTATCGGGCCTGCCCTCTGGAGCCGCCCTTGAATATCAATCATTGCTGTAAGATCAAATTTGTTTGAATTGGTTATTGGTCAGCTGAATTCTTTTTTTGAAAGTAATAACTTTTTCCTACAGTTACCTTACAAAGTGGGCTTCCCCGCACTGATTATAGTATGTAAGAAGCTAATTGCTGCATTTACTTCACTTTCCCCGCACTCATTTTACTTTTACTCCACTCCAGTTTTAACCAAACAACACAAAACAGTGTACTTTTGTTAGGCATGCAATACCAATACGTGTACACTTAAAAATATTACTACTACGTTCAGCTGGCGCAGCGTTTCCCATTTCGTTCAATGTTTGGATTTAACCAAACCTAAAAACTTAAAAGATACCACGACTACGATTAGCTGGTTCACTGTAAACAGGTCACAGAAAGGAAGGCTGCCTATAGACTCCAGTGTGAACAACTTTGGGTGAGCATTGAAGGAACCTGAGACCACTCTTGGATTACTCAGTTAGTAAGAAGTAGGTTTTGTTCTGACATAACCTCAGGCTTCAAGCCAATAATATTCTACTTTGCCAAGCCTTTCATCATCTTTCTTCTATCCAGAGAGGATTGGATGTCCGATGGTAATCCTACTACAGTACTCCACGTAGTGACCTGGAATGATACTCTGATGGTTCAATTGTGAGAGGTATGATAGGGGCTGAATTACTCGGTGTGATGGACTTTTGTTTCCCTGTGGGAGTGCATCCAGTGGTGTTCTATGCTAAGATGGTCCATGAAGTGTGCTAGGGAGAACTTGAGGCAAAGCTCCAGGGACATGATATCTCCACTTTCTCAGACTCCACTGAAGGTTTATGGCTGCTCTGCAAGTTCAAGTACAAGGAAGTAAGGGACTAACTCACAATAGAACCTGTGCTGGCAGGTGACAACGTTTTGGGTCCCTGGAACCTCAGGGGCAAAAGGGGACGAGGTGGCTTATAAGCTGGACAATGTGACCTCTCTTAAGATCACAACCTTTCAGTGAATGTTTTTGTGGGTATGAGTGTCAGTCTGAGTCAGTTTTGGACTCAAGAGGAGCACAGGAGGAGATGGTTAAGACTTCAGTTTCATAAGGTAAGCAAGCTCAAACTCTTATCCCGTTCTATCTGCCTTTTCGACTGCCTGCAGTTGCATCCAACGTTCTACAAAGACAGCTCAAAGGGATGATGATGAAGATACACTTAAATACTGCTTGAGAATCCCGAATGGCGACCCAGCATGTAGGAAATGTGGGCAGTCTGAGGAGTCTGCACAGACTCGATCAATCAATGTACACAAAGTACCTTACAGTCTTAGTAAAGTGAAGTGATAATTAAAAACTATGATAAGATAGCTAAAATAAACAATTCCTTACTAAAATACTAACTTAGCCTATAAAATAATGTTTGCATTCAACATAACCAAGGTAATTAAAACAGCTTTTAATCCAATTTATTCTTTATTTTTGAAATGAGTCGTCCAATAACCGTCATCACCAGTTTCTTGACCAGCCAGACAGTGATGATAACAATAGCCGCCACCAGAGCTATGACATCCAACAACAACAGCTGATACCAAGGAAGGTCTTTGGCTGGACTGTACAAGTGAGGTGCTCCGTGGTGAGAGATGAGGTATTCAGTCCAGTACCCCCCAAAGTTTTCAGATTTGGAATTTCAATATGGGGTTTATCTACTCCAAAAACAGTTATCTGAAATGGATGGTGGAATTGTTAAACAGAGACCTCTGCTATGGGGCAAGTACACGTTAGTTTAAAAACTGCTCGCCATCTTTTTTTAAATGTAGATTGTAAGCCTATAAATGTACTTTGCTGCACTTGCGTTAGCTTTTAAATAAGCTCTGAAAAAATATTTCTCTCTTGCTAAATTTATAGGTATACACTTTTGAGTGTATAAATTAGCAAATCAGAAAAAAGTGTGGGTGAAACCGCTACTAGGGAAGCGTAAAATACAAAAACCCTTCAGCTTATGTAAAATTGTCGAGAACTAAAGGTGAACAGGAAAAAATCATAGCCTACAACACAAGATTCCTAAATGTTAACTAACTAACTTACTACATACTTACTACTTACTATATATGTTAACTTATCTACTGAGCTATGGTTCGTTGTACTCGACAACTAGCGTACTCGCGTGGCCCTTTACTGGTGCTTGAATACCCCCATAAAAATAAAATTTTAATCAATGAATAGTTATTTAATAAGTTTTTAAACAATACAGTATTGTAATTGACATCGTCTCATTATTATTGTAAAAAGATATAAGATGCAATACTTATATATTTAATAGAATTAGACATGAAAAAGTCCAAATCATGGGCTGTTTTCAGTTTAACATTTAACAGGTTTAAAAATATACAAACTTAAACTATGAATGACAGTGGGTCTTTCTTAAAAAAGGCTTCTTAAATCATCATAGCACAGACCTTCTTTTTGGTTGAAAGACCTCAAACTTGGTTTAAAGTGAAGTATAGTTATCTTTTTACTGTAGTATTGTTTAGAGTAGAAAATACGAGTTACTAACCTGGTGACCCCTCTCAGCTAACAAAGACATGTATTTGTAGCACCAAATAGAGTGACTGCGAGATGTTACAGTACAAATAGCAAGAATCTTGGCAGTCAACACAATCTGCAGATATTGAGCTGTGTATAACACTATAAGCCATCTCATGGTGTCTATCTGGAACATGTAAACATCTAACATTCAACATTTAACTCTAATGTTGTGTACAGCTATCTGGCAATGCCCGCTTTATGTACCAATCTTTTATGTTCGGGTTCTCGCCCACCTGAATACATTGTCAGATTCAAGGTCCTGAAATTTGTTTTACCAAGTACAGTAATAGTTATCATCACAGAAATGCAGATATCGAATACTTCAGTAAGAATTAACGTATCTGTATTACCAAAAACTCTTTATCAGCTTTGACCTTGGCTAAGGGTGAGCCGCAGAGGATGGGACAGCGGCACACTTGAGCTTGCGCCACTGACATATTTAGAGGGATTTTTTTACAATTTGCCATTGATGATGTATAATGTTTTTTTTTTTTTTTTATAAGTAGCTTAAAACCCAAAAACTTGGGGGGATCTCAAGATATTGCCACAATCACTGAAGACAATGAGGATATCTTTGCCATTGTGGGGGAATGTCATGATATTGCCGTCATCACAACAGGTGATTTTTTTGCGACTGCAGGGAATCTCAAGATATTGTCATGATCACTGAAGACAATGATGATATCTTTGCCATTGTGGGGGAATGTCATGTTATTGCTGTCATCACAACAGGTGATTTTTTTGCGACTGCAGGGAATCTCAAGATATTGTCATGATCACTGGAGACGATGATGATGTCCTCACTACCGTGGGGTAATGTCAACATATTGCCATGATCAGGAGAGGCAATGGTGATGTCTTAGTGACAGTGGGAGGTCGTAATTTTATATTGCCACAATCACCGGAGACGATGACAATGTCTTTGTGGTCATGGGAGTGGGAGATATGCAGTCTTTTTGCAATGGCACGAAACGTTAAGCATGTCATCGCGATAGCGGGAGATGTACTTCGATAGGGCCACGATCACGGATTATTGTCAATTATAAAGGATGATGCAGGCAGATAGAAAACTACAGTTTCAGAGAGGACGCAAGAAGAAAAATAATTACTCCAGTCCTGAAGCGGTTACCTGGTCTTGTGTTTGTCCATTTGTGTCTATTTAATCATTTCTGGTTTGGGTGAAAAGACCCTCCCTAATTCTGTTTGATGGGCATAGTTATTCCAATCCCATAATTTATATGTGAATAGTCACAGTTATTGTATACTTAATATGACTAATCTATATATTTAATTCTGTAAGCGAATTGGTCCTCACAAAATATCTCGAGCTAGGAAAAAGGTAGCATGGCTGTTGAGAATTCATTTTTAAGCTTAAGGTCCAAGGACGGTAGGAATATCAGAAGTGTCTGAAATTACCCCTGCTCTGCCCCACATGCTGTCAAAGATACAGTAATTTTCTAATGGAAGTAATGCTAAGTGTTTCTATAAGCGGTTGTAAATATCCCAGCTGATGTAAACATTGCATATGTTTACTGATTTTTGTGTTCTGTTTTAGATTGGAGTATAAAGCTTCGCTATATCACGATGTTGTCCTCTGGCACTGCGGAGTGGGGGAAGCACAATTATTATTTCAGCTGCACTTTTTTTATACGGACAAAATGTGAGCATTCTGTAGGCTGAGGGAACACCATTACCGTAACGATACGGTTTGGAGCCATCGGCCTCGGTGGTCTAATGGATAACATGCCGGGCTGAGAAACTGAAGATACCAAATTCGAATCCTATTGGTGGCACTAACTTTTTGTACATGATTTTTGCATTATAAACAAGTTTGGTTAGTTTGGTTAGGTTAGGACAGTTTAATATTGTAATTAAAACATAAAATTAAATTTTAGCTATTATAGTTTTATAACTTTTTTTTTATTAGTAAACCTTCATTAGATTTTTTTCATTATCAGCAAGTTTGGTTAGTTTTTAGGTTATGACAGTTTAATTTTATAATTAAGAAATTATAAAATTGAATTTAAAGCAATTATAATTTTATTTTATGAACAGAACAACTTTTTCGATTAGTAAACCTTCATTCGATTTTTACATCTTTTTTATATCATTAGCAAGTTTGGTTGGTTAGGTTTATGACAGTTTAATTTTATAATGAAAATTTTTTTTTAAAATTCTAAAAATATATTTTTTTTTAATTTTCTTTTTTTTAACTATTATTTTGACCTTTAACTTGAAACTTGAAAAAGCAGCATATGTTATGTATGTAAAACAACGCGGGCTTGTTTGGATGCCGTAAAGAGGGGAGGTGGAGGGAAAATCATTTCCCCCACTCTGCAGCATCAACATCGCGATGATACAGCGAAGGTTTAGACTCAAAGAACCTAAATACACTGACTCTTAGACTCCAGTCTGTTTTTGGGTTAGAATGGTAATGGTAATAGTAAACGTTTAACTTCATATCCTTTGAACTAGTGAGCGAGCTTAGGCCTACACATACCACTTACAGTATTTATGGTGAATGTCAGGTTAATGAATTATTACCCTCTAGGTTGGGATTTCTAATATAATTCAAGGAAAATCTTCTTAAAGACATAAATTTTCTCTAGAGATGGGTTTTGTTGACCATTTTAGAATAAAATATAATCCTGTCTAGGTACTTTTGTTTAAAGTATGTTTCTTTTTTAACATTTTAGGTTCAGGTGGATCTGTCCTATAAAACTGGGTTGGCAACTGCCAGTTTTTGTTAATATTAAGTTATTATTAATGGTCTGGATACCTATGACTTTGAAACAATCTAAACAATTAAAAAAAAATTATAAATAGACCTAAAAGGTCGAAGATAGATAGTAAAATTGTCAGAGTTTTGAACATTTCACTAAAAAAAATGTTAAAAGTGCCATTGGTGTTAAAAATACACACATAATAGTAAACAAACAAACAAATTCTATGATTATGGGTCATAGAATTTGTGGTACCTACTGAAACTTTTTGTTCAGTAGACATAGACATAGGCATACTTAATTTGCACAAAACATTCCATACATGTCATAACATTTAGAATAGGTGCGTTGTCAAAATTAAATCCATACATAAAATATTTAACATTAAAACTTAACTGTGTGGAGTACATACCTAGTACAGTAGGCCTACTAGTAACAATCAGTGATGCGTAAATCAACAATAGCTAATTACTAAATGTTTTAGATAAAGATTTTACTCACTTGCTAAATTGGCTATGTAACCTCACATATTAAGAGAGTTGACAAAATAACCTGTAATTTAAGTCACAATATTACAAAAAGGAACTCTTGACAATGCTCTATTACAAGGTCTTTCTTATCTTTGATTTACTCAATTTAGAAAGAACAAAACCCCCAGAAGATTACTTAAAACTGTAAGCTTTTAACGAGTTGATAATCAATTTACATGATAATGATCCTTCATTTGACTTATACTGATACTTTGATTCCTAAGCCCCTTTAAAAATATTAATCAACTTTTAAAACTTGCAGTTTATAACTTATCACCATGTATCTTTTATTTTAGAATGTTGTATTTTTTTTAATTAAGAGTATTTATAAGAGTAATTAAGAGTATTTGTATCTTTTAGTAAATTTCTCCAATATTAAATAACATATTATCGTAGGTAGGCTAAGACCTAGACCTAAGGCCAGATTTACTTATTTTTTAATCTTTACATTTTGTATTTATTGTTGAAACCTCTATATCAGAACCAATTCTTGGTACAGTAATCTACCTCTTCTCATACACATTTGAGTTTAGGCTTTCAAAAATTCATACTGTAACATTGCTGTATTTTGTTCTTTTTCAAATGGAAAAGTTGAAATTATCTGTAGATGGTTTAACTTGAAAAAAAACTGGGTAGTTAAAAAACAAACGCCACAAAGCAAACTATAAAATGTATTTTTTTAACAACACAAAAACAACAATAATTAATTCAAGGAACTACAAGTGGCTCAAACTCATCACAGTTCTGTATTTGTAATTTGATTTCTGTATCTTTCAACCACAAGGAACAAATGATATTAAATTTATAAGGGTAGCCAAGTGGTTAAGGCGCTGTTCTTCAAATATGAAGGTAGGCCAGCTGTTTTGATTCCATGCGAGATTGTTACCAGACGCAGATGCCATCTGTCTATCCATTAATGATACTACTGTAGAACAGTAGAACCCCTCATATCCAAACTCGGCATAACCGACTCCTCGGGATATCCGACCTATACGACTACTGTCGAGAGAATTGATTTTATAGACAAAACTAAAATACAAATTCGCAGTCAAATGTACTCTACGTAACAACATACAAAATACAATACAAACAACAGTGCACTTCACAAACTTAGATATCACAATTTACTTTTCAAGTCTTCCGTTTGATGAGAGTGCACAGAATTTGATAGTCATTTCTCCATCAAATACATCTGATACAGATTCTTCAGTTGAGGGTCGGAAAATGTGGGAACAAAGTTGATTTGGACGATCTGCGTGAAACCTTCATCTAAACTGGGAGCTTCAAACTTGTTCCTGAAAACCCATTGAGTGGTTATAAAATCAGGCTTGCCTACATGGAAAACTTTCAAGCAATGGATTGAAAGTGAATTTTTTCGGAATGAAATTCCAAAATTGTTTATCGTTTGAGGAAAGATTTCTTGAGGAATTACTCAGCTGTGGGTTTAAAAAAAAACTTTTTGAAAGGAAACTTTTCTCAAAGTAGCCTACTGGTAGTGTAAATACTTTATTATCACTCTGTAACGAAAGTAATTTTCGATAACAGCTGACATCAATGAAATTAGTCGTTTCCCAAGCTCTAATTTACTTTCCCTCACTCTCAATAGTTCTCCATTTATTCACTATGTGTGCTAGTGTTTTGTTACGGTTTAATTTAATGATTTGAATTTAATGGTTTGAGGACGGGAAAAATAGAGCAAGCGCCGGATAAGGCCGGCCGCACACCTGATACAGCACGGCACGGCAAGGCGAGGCGAGACGTCTTTGCCTCGCCTTGCCGTGCCCGATGGAGATTTGAGATGCATACGGCACGGCACGGCAAGGCGACTTGAGCACCCACATGGTCGATCCCATGGTTTCAGTAAAGTGAGATACTGTGTGTTATGAGGTTCTTTGTCATTTTGTGACACTTTGTACTACACATTTTGTGAGAATTGATGCAGAAGGCGAAGAAGAGGCTGCTGCCATCCCTGCCATATGGTACCATTGACTGTTGTGTTTATATAGTCAATGATGGTACCTAATGAATGTAATGGATGATCCCCCTAACAGAGGATCATGGGTGCATCCCATCAACCAAAAAAGGAACTTGAAACCATTCATTGCAGAACTAAGAGCAGATCTGGAAAAAAATCATAATTACTAATCGTTGAAAGTGCACACTGATTTTAACAAGGGCTGTCACTGCGCTGAACGTGGTGTCGATCCTCGCGCATGCGCACATCGTTTTGCCTCAAGCCTTTTGCCCGAAAGACGAAAATTGAAAAGGCAGAACAAAGCGCCGTACGGCGCTGTTTTGCCTTGCCTTGCCGTGCCCGATGATGTGTGCGGCACCCCCATTTAAAATAATATAAATCTAGTCGCATAAGGCGCCTTAAGGCAAATCGTCGCGCCGTGCCGCATCAGGTGTGCGCCCGGCCTAATAACTTTCGGTACGAGGTATGAACGATACTTTTCATCACAACGCAAAAATACACAAACACAGAATAGCACACCTCAGTAATTTTATTTTATTTCTCAATTAATTTGATTGAGCATCAAAATAAAATAAAATCTCCTAAAAGGAAACCTACGTATATTTCTCAATAAATTTTGTTTAAACATCAAAATAAAGAATAAAACCAATTTTAACCAATTTAGGAAGTGGGTTATGTTTATTTAAAGAATGGCAGTCAACCGTTTGTATATTACGGTTTATATGATAATCAACAGGTAAAGAGGATTAACTAAAATTGAAGAATTAAGGCAAAACATCTTTTCAATGAAGCATCAACATTGTGTACGGTAATTGATTTGAATGCTACACTAAGGTCCCACTAGCCAGAATTGCTCCCCCTGGTTGAAATTGTAGTATTATATGTAGGCCTATCTATCAATATTTTACTTACTTGTAAGTATTGATAATCATCTCATTCACAGGAACATGTTTAGGATCTGTTAGCTCTCGAAACTGAAAGAAAAAAAAAACAAAAAATAAAGCAGTAAAGCTTTTAAAAGTTGGATTTTTTTATACATGTTAATAAAGTTAGATGTTTTAGTGTAGCCTACTTGTCTTAAGTATTAAAAAATTGTCTTTTAGTTGAAAATAACTATTCACATTAAATTGTATATTAAGTTTTAATATTTTTCCGGCAAGGTAGCAATTGAGTTCTAATTTTTTTGGTTTTAGTCCCATTTGTAGCTGAAAATATAATGATAAGCAATCTGAAACTAAACAAAAAAATTGGAAAATATCTTAAGAAAGTCTTTGTACAGTTATACCTTTTGACTATTAGTATTAATACAACTAGACATCCCATTCCCATGTTAAAGATGTCACCAGTTTCTTAATCAAAATTGTCATAGTTGATGGGAGCTACCGATGAATTGCGCTGATCTAAATCACTAAATTTCTATCGAATACACAGACTTATTAACAATGCCAAACTAATGAAATGACTTATGGTGAGCTATAGCAACTGTTATAACCCATCAACTATGTCAGAAACAGAAAATAAGGTAGAAAATCTAATTTTAGACACTTGCACATTCTGTGACTGGTTCACACAACTACAATCTTTTTTAGTAACAAATTGGCTTGTCCATATAGGTAGGATGTCAACTTCTTTATCCAATAGTCAATGGTTGAACTGAGTAGACAAAGCTACGCAAGCTAGATCAATCACTTACTCTGATATTGTGCCTAACGTGTTCGATGGAAGTAGTCATGACAAAACATCTGACAGGTTTCCCTTTGCTACTCTGAATATACCTGGACAACATAAAAAGTCACATTAATCATTTAGAAATTAGAACATTACAATTCAGGCTAAAGTCTCTAAAAATTAGATTGAGACTTACCTTCTTTTGTTAAAAAAATAGAACATTATAGGGGTCTTAGTTGAATTTCAATAAAAAATTTCTGATAAACTAGTAAATATTTTAGTTATGAAATAAGAGATTAAAAATGAATCAATCCAACATGTTCTGGGTACAACTGAGTCACAGACAGAAACTTATTACCAAGTAATTATGTTCCCATCCTATTTGCAGACAGCCATTATCAAAACAGTTCACCAGAAGACGTAGTAGCTCCTAACAGCTCTAAGAGCCTTATTATGTGAGGTGACTCAGGAAACCATTAGCCTTTTTAAGAAAGACCCACTATTATTCACTATTATTCATAATTTAAGTTTTTTAAGTTTGCCTATTTTTTAAAAATTATTTTAAACCTGTTAAATGTTAAACTAAGGGCAGCCTATATTTTGGAATTTTCATGTCAAATTTTTTAATTATAAGTATTGCATCTTATATCTTTTTACAATAATAATGACGATGTCAATAACAATAATGTATTGTTTAAAGACTGAATAAATGACTATTCAATGGCTCCCGACCGCAACTATTCAGTCACTAGGGAAGACGCAGGTGTGGCTAGGGGTAGTGACAAGGTGTGGCGAGGTTGGATGTCTGATCAATTGATAGAGACTTGAAAGTAGTTCCTCAGTGTCAATTATGTCGTTGTCGAGTGAAGAAGAAGAACTATTTCTTATACTTTTACTAAAGCGTCATAAAAGTAGGTGAATCAAAATTAAGAGTCCACCCGTTACCAAAAGTAGGTTAAGACCTTAAAATCCTCAGTATTTAGTTCATCAATAATCTTAATAATCCACTCCGGTGATTTCTTTTTTGGACATATTAACTACAGTGTAGAAGACAGCACTTGCTCCAAGTACACATAAATCGTGACAGAAGCGAGGGCAGGAAGTGGGGTGCGTGCTGTGGCCAGCGAATACGGCTGCACATAATAAAAGAGTATGAGAACATAGCCTGCTGGTGGCACGGCAGTCGCACGGGCTCACCTAGCGAGGGTGCGCGACTCGATTAGCCAGTTGGGGCAACTGTTGCGTACCTCACCACTGAGGTCATGTCACTTAATTAGCTTCATATGATAACTTTGCCTGCTAAGAGTGACATTTGAGCTCTCCCAGACGTGAGTCACTCGAGTGGCCACGCATATAATAAGGCTCTAAGGGTGGCTATCTGCAAAGAGGCTAAAATGTAGTAATGTGACACATTTAAATTGATGTCCTCCTTTTATTACATTATCCATCAGTTCTGTTCCAATACACTATCATGATTATTTATCTCATCCCACACGCTTACGCTTATCCAAGGCAAGTCCAAGATTTAATAAAAAAATATGATAGAAAATGGTAACACTAACAAAAAAAAAAGATCACTAAATGTGTGTGTGTGTGTTCACTAAATGGTAACAAAGATTCCTTGTTATCGTACCTCTGTCTACTTTCTTTGTCCGGGTTGGTGTTGTCTATAACGACTGATCGTCCAGCTGACAAGGCCGTCTCCATGGTTTGCACACACTTCTGCCACGAGCCCAGTGTGTCTCGGTTGACGTGGGTGTAGCCGGCCTTCAACAGATGTTGTCGAACAAAATAGCTCTTGCCTGACCCCGGGTAACCGACCATCACAACCACCTGCAGTGGACATATGAATAGACAAAAATAATGGATATAGAAATTGTAGCCAGATGGTTTCATAATGTTAAATGTGCTAGTGAGAGTGTCTTTGACTCATAGACCTCATTTACAGCACATATGTCATCATTTAACCCAACCCAACCTTCTGCAACATTGGCCATGTAAATAGATGCAACATAATGGACATCTTAGTGCAACATCAACATTATTAAAATGTTATCGAGGCAACTGCCAACATGAGTCTTTTCTCCAAAATAACCTTGTCGATCTAAAGAAAAGAAGTCCATTTACTTCAGTAGGCCTACATTCAGCTTATCAACCCAAGACACTATCACTAAGCTACCGTTTGCGATAATCTTTTTACTGAATACATGTGTTTTCCTGAATATAAGACAGTTATGGTTGCTTGGTCAGATTCTGGATTTACAAAGTGTTAGTGGTCATCCATTGTCATACTTAATTTACTATATACTACGGTACTATAACCTATATTTTGATAAGTAGGTAGGCTACATTACCTACATGTAAAAGTCCATGGCTCAGTAGCATCATGATGGACTGTAAAACCAAGTAAGTTAGGATAGGAATTCATCTAAAATGATGTGAATGAATGATAGATGATGAGGACGATGAACCCAAAGATAAAACCATAAACAAAAATTAAAATTATCAAGTGTAAATTAATTATTCTCAATATAAAACAAGAACCAAAACTATAACCAAAACTACAGTGTTGTACCCACTCACCTCCTGAGTTTTACTGATGATGTCTTCGTCATTTCCATCTCCAGATACAATAGGAACATCTTCACCAAGTGCAGAAGGATTGAAAGTTGGGAGAAGAAATTTTCCCGGAGGTTCTTTCAAAAAGTGTTCTTCTGGAGTTTGGAAGCAAAGCTTTAAATTGATCGCCAACAGTCGGTCAGCGGAGGAAAAATCTTTTTTCTTGCCAGGAGCCCAGTTTGCAATCCTACCAGCTGCGTCTCCCACATAAAAAGACTTGTCCATTGAAATCGTAATGCCATCATTCTTCTGAAATGTTCACATTTTACATGATTATTTTTCTTACATCTTAAAAGGTATATTTATATTTGTGTTTAGAATTTGTTCAGAAAACAAGAGTATAAGTTACACAATTTTTTTTTATCAGATACATACTCAGTAATTCTAAAGGTGAAGTGAACCGTTAAAATATATTTGTTTTCTGTGGAGATTAACATCTCTCCTTTTACTTCCAACAAAAACATAACACAAAAAAGTCTTCACAATATGATTTTCTATAAGAACTTGGATCTTTAAAAATAAGCCTATATTTTATGAGAAAAAATATGCAATCTACATTTTAAATGTTCTTTTATCTTTTCTATTACTGCAAAAAATGTAGTCGAATACTCTCGCTAAATGGCTGTGAAATCAGATAATTTATTTATTTGTTAAGTTTAACCAGACTTTATCAAGCCTATTTGCAAAGAGGGCAAAAATTAATGTTTTGACAGCTGGTTTCACAGCTGACTAGCTAGAATTGTGGATCCACAGTTGTTAAATTGTGACTTACATATTTGCGTTTAACAGTTGCTTAATTTTCCCAAAAGGAAAATTTAAATAAAAACCAACCTTGTCTTGAAGGTAGTTCCACATACCAGGGGCAGGCTTTCGGAAGATGGAGTTTGAAGTGGCAATAAACACCTGAACCGGAACTCCCAAAGCATCGACAACTTCCTTGATTTTACTCTTAAACTCGTTCAAGTTTGTTTTACCCCGTCCAATACCAGCTTGATTTGTAAGAATCACTACTTTGAATCCATCACCCACAAGTTTCGTCAGCTTTGTTTTCACAGCACTGTTTGCAATTTTCCAGTCGTCTTTGTCCTTCGGAAACACTCGTCCTGATTTGGTCAGTATCAATGTACCGTCCATGTCATAGGCCGCAATCTGTAACCAATCTCACAGTAGTTACAAATATTGTGTACAAATTAATAGGCAATTAATCTTTATACCGTACGTTAAGATAATTTACATTTAGATCATTAGTACCAACATAAAAATGTAATTATTGGCCCCTATTCTTCTACATCTCATTTTTTATGGTTAGCCCAAGTCTGGTTTGCCTACCTTTAAATACAAGAATATCATGCTCAAAAGGTTTTTGATATTTTTAGAATTACATTTGCCATAATCTTTGCTAGTACAATTCACAAAACAGTTCAATACAACACAACCAAACAATAAATTTTCTCTTTAATCTAGGTGGCAAAATTGTATGAAGTGGCTTAGACAGTTACAAATATACACATAACAATTCTAGCACCTGAATCTAAGAAATCTTATGTCACTTACTACAAGATCACTAATCGACAACTCACCTTGTTACTGCTCGTAACCCCGACACTTGTATAAACATATAATTTTCCATCTTCAATTTTGTCCCAAGTATTGGATGTGCAAACAGGGGCAGTTGCTTCAGGGGATATTTTCAATTTTATTGTTGCTTCAGGGGCAATCTTTCTGTCTTTGCAATAACGTTTCAATTCCGAGCCACAATCATTAGAATGTTCACTCTCGTTTTTCCGTTTTCCCATATTTTCATTCTTACTAGGAGGATCAAATTCTACCTTGAATGGATATCTTCCTACAACAAACTCAAACGTTTCACCATGTTTCAAAACGTGTTTGTCGTTCTTCAATATGATTCCGTTTGCACAGGAAGCATTTTTGCCTAAATGGGTTATAATCACTGTTTCTTTGTTATAGTCTGCTAGTAGAGACACTGAAAAAAAAAGAACTTTTACAGTACACTTACACTTTTTTTAACTAATCAAAAGTAAAAATTAGCCCAGCTTTATTTCACAACTTCATGACAACTTAAATTTAACCAATTTTTTACCTCAAACCTAGTTTTACACAATATCAATATTGCTTAGTTAATTTAAAATCTTTTATCTCAAACTAAACTTGAAAAATAATTGGGCAATAACTTTTAAACTGATCAACCTTGGGAACGATTAACTATCACTAGCTACATTGATATGGCTTCCATCATCTCTATAATTAGTTTCAGATTTCTTAGTATAACGTACTCAACAAACTGTGTTTTGAAATTTTTCCAATTCATAGCCTAGTTTACTTTTTTTGTCCTAGGACACTAGGTACGAGCCCGGGATTGTTTTTCACATTACTTCAGGCAAGACCTAGGGGTTGCAGCATTAGGCCTATCGCTTAGATAGAATCTATTGGTGATTTGGTGGAATTTGAACTCGGGACATCAGGACTGAAGTTCCGCGCTCTAACCACCACACCAGCTCGCTCCCCATAGTTTACTATTTAATATAATTTAAAATATAATCTAAGTTATACAAACCTAAAATGAAAACCTCGCTAACCATAAAAACTCGCTTTAACATATTTGGGAGTGATGTTCAGTAAAAAAATACCCCCACCGCAGCAAACCTGCAGACTAAGCAAATTTCTATTTGTCTGAATCGATTTACACTAAGATGTCTCTTTAAAAATATCTCAATTATTCCCTATTTAAATAGACTAGAGTTAGTTTAACAAGTACTTAGGTTTGCTGCTACAGGGAGGGTGAATGTGTTTTTTTTTATGTTAATCGTTAATAAAAAATTAAAACATTTTCCAAATTTGATCAAAATATGTTCATAAACAAGCAAACTACAACAGTGTATATACTTATTATCCATAATAATATCATGGGAATTTTAAATTTACAATTTTCTGGAATTTTCTCCGTAACCATTAGGCACATACTGCAGATGTAGCTCAGGAGATTAAATTAGTCACATCATTAATATACTGTCAAAATTAACTTCCTGTAAATGTGACTAGCAAAAGTTTAACCCGTCAAATTTAACAATGAGTTTTCTTGTTAAATGCTTTAAACAATAGTCTTTAAATAAACAATCTGCACCTACCAAAGTTACACCATTAGCTGAAATCAATATTTAAATCTCAAAGTATCGGTACCCATGAACTTTTGAGAAAAGTAAAAGTCACACCCCCATAAACCATACACGGTACTTAAAATGTTCCTCATGACGAGAAACCTTGTGCAAAACTGTCCATTATTTCATAAATTGCCCTTTAAGGTCGTAATTCCTTTCTAAAGGGAACTTTCCATATACCTAATGTTGAAAATATCTCAGCTGTACTTATTTGTTTGTTATTCTTTCAATTTAATATCTTACTAGATAACCTGTTGCTCAAAACCGAGCAAAACTTCAAATTGTAAAAAGAAATAAAGAACACAAACATGAACAGCTAGCTTAATCAAAGTAACTCTAAAGTTAGTTGACATAGGCCTGTTATAAAAATATGAAAAATATTATGTTGTAAAAACTTTATTTAAGTAATCTACAATAATTAAATATCGATTCGCTCCTATACTGCTTTGGTTATCCCTTATATACTGTAGGTACCCACCTACAGTACATAAGAGATAACCAATATTACCACCTCTAAGCGCAAGTACATGTCAACCACCTACTGTAAAGTGAGCTTTTTAGACCTGACCTATGTAGCAAGCTTCATGCCTTTCCTGACACCAACCTGTACGACGTGTACTCTAGCATTGTCAAGCCATTGTAAGCCAAACCAATGTAAACATTTAACGTTCATTTGTGCGAGTTTTGATGTATCACCACAGCAGTCTAGTACTGTAGGCCTACTGCCGCTCTTATTCCATCCGTCAACTGTTCCAATGGGAGGGTGATGCAAGCGGTTACGTTTAGTGTTCCCTCCAGCCACTCACAGTTCTTTATCTTACTTAAGTAACTTAACTTAAACATTTAATTTTAAATGCATATAAAGTACGAAAGTTAACAAAACAACAGAAACAACACTTCAGAGAAATTTTTATACACATTGTAAATTACATGATAAAATGGTAAAGTAACGGGTAACATTTACTTCATCATTCCGAACTGTAACTAAAACTACAAACAATTTTTTGTTAAGTCTTGCTAAGAAATGGAAGTACTTATTAATGAAACAGACTTAGTAAACAGATGTTAAATACATATATAAATTCCGGCTTTGCTCTGGAAGAAGTAAGTCCTGCATTGAACTATTTCAAACTACAGTAAAACCTCTTTAATCCGAACTAATTGGGACCGGGGGTAGTTCAGACTATTGAATAGTTCAGATTACAGAACATATTGTTGTTTTTACATAACATTTAGCTAGGGAAAAGTTAAAAATGCTTTATAAAGTAAAATACAGTGATTATTTAATACAGTAGTAAACAAAGGGAAAAAACAGTATTGTACATTACAATTGAAATAATTACGGTGCGTATATCAATAAATAGGCCTACAGTATAAGTTTAAGCTACAATAAAGAACTACTGTACTGTGTATAGTACAGCAATGAGGCGTTCGGATTAGTGGACGTTCGGATTACAGGGGTTCGGAGTAAAGAGGTTCTACTGAATGTCCATATGTTTAGTCGTAAACAAAGTAGCCTACTTAGGCCTAATTAAGTTTGATCCAATAACGAAAAGCGCCTTGGCCCTAAACTATTAAACCACAAACCAATATCAACACTGTTGTGTTGTTAGACAACACTGTTGTCTGCTAGTTAATTTTCTTCCGTACCGTATCTGTTGGCACAAACAACCGAATAAGAATATATATCGATATATTGATTATTGGATTTGTTGTTTGGTTAGTTAGGTAAGGTTAGCCTAACCTAACTAAACAAACGATATATGGAATGAAATAATCGAATAATACGGTAGTCTAACCCTTAAATTAGCTTTATACCTTGTTGTTTGGAGCATTGATGACATTTTATATTTGTCTCTCGACTCCTACCTAGGATTACCTCTTCATTCTCTTTTAACAAAATAGTAATATTTTCATCCTCAATACTTTTGATCCAACACTGTTTGTTGCCTTGCCCAGTCATGATTGGCTTTCATAGGTTGTGAAAAAGAAATGTATAAGAAGTAGAATGGTTATGGTTATACCACCACTGACTTTGAAATTTGACAAACACAAAATAGGCCTAGGCTCTAAAAGAGTTGTTAAAACCACGCTTATTTGACCTAAATGAAACAACACAAATATTTAACCACTAAGTTAATCAAAAAGATCGAGGATCAATGCATTAATGCATTATCCATTGTGGAATTTTAATAAAGCAAAATAATATTAGACCTAGTCATTAGTCCAAAAAAGAAACATAAACATAACCTAAAATACATCTAGTTAAGTTTGCTAACAGCAACAGCAAGTTTGTTTAACATGCAGCCTTGTAGCCCCTTATAGCCTTGTAGGCATTGAATAATAGGAGATTTAACAAAATTCCGGATTTATGAATATTTTACCTTTGCTACTATGCAATTTTTTACGAATTTTCAAATCTGACTTTCAAGGTGAACACGGCATTTTCCTAGGAAATGCCAGAGCCCTAGGTATAATAATCATGCAATGAATGACCCCTTTTGCACGCGATTGATAGACTAATTTTATTACTGTACAAAATAATTAAACAAACATTTCAATATGTTTGAAGAGAGTGAAAAAGAACGCAATAATTAATGTTTATAAAAATAGTTATTCTTTTTGGTATTTCTTTCATCCTATTATCAATCGATCGATAATAACGTCTTCAAGACGTCCAAAAATAATGATGAGTGTTGGATAGGTGTAGAACGTTGAGATAGATTATAACTATTGCTCAAGGGGTGTAGAGTGGATTGTGATGAGCTGTGTGTACCTTTTTTACTGACTAATATCATAGACTAACCAACACTAAGGGAGTATGTTTTATCTATGCTAATATCAACTGTTTCATTATCATTATAGTCAGGGTCTAATATACATACAGAGTTTGTTTATATAACTCGGGTAAGAGTTATTGTTTATGATTCTTTAGTTTTATTTGGTTAAACGAGTTTTTAAATAGCTGAGACACAAGAAACAAATTGTAAACAAAACAAGACCTCTACAGTGCACTGGACGTATGAAGAAAGAAAACCGTAGCTTTATTAGGTTATTAACATTGCGCAGTTCATGCACTATTTATTTTTCAAATGTAACTTGAATAATAAAAAAAAACATTCATTTGGTTTAACTAAAATATTGGTTTGATTGAATAAAAAATAAAAAAAACATTCATTTGGTTTAACTAAAATATCGGTTTGATTAACATAAGTAGTTTATACTGGCCAACTATCCGTTCTACTTAATGTAAAAAAATTAAGCAGCACCTAAATAAAATACAAATATAAACAGTATTTGTTAATTATTATGTCTTTTATTGCTGACAATATTCCCGTGGTGGAGCACGGGCTGTTAACTAGTTTCCTTAATACTAAGCATAAGACGACATTAATACAATTTTTTCTTTAAGTCTTTTAAGGTATGTACATACGTTTTATAAAGTATGGAGATAAATAAATCAATTAAAAAATTAGGTTTCTTTAAAAACGTTCTCGTTAAAATTGCACATTTGGCTAAGTTAACAAAAATGGGCAATTAGTATTTTCTGTTAGCTTTAACTATCAAACTATCTGGGTTTAAATATTTGCAAGCATTGCGAATTTGTTAGACTTGATTTCGGGTTATTACTGTATAATCTATGTTATGATTATTACTAAATTTTAGGTGTAAAAATAAATTTCAATAGGTATTTTATCAGTAAAATCTTGAGAAAATCAGTCAGTACACGTATTGATAATGTGATGTTTGAACTAACTCCTTACTCAACTGAAATACAAGCTACCTTCATACAGATCTGTACTGCAAAAAGTATTATCAGCTTGAAGGTGTCAATAAATACGATAGTTCTATAAAATCACCATGATAATAAAACCATAAAATTATTTTTATTCGTTGAACCTCTTCAATGATGGTTCCTTACACTGAAACCTAAATTTAACTATACTGTCTGTATATTACTTGAGCTATAAATAAATTAAATAAAACTTTATATCCATTTCAATAGTAAAAATAAGTTCGAATTTCCGAATAAATTTTATCTTAAGTAATTTTTCATATCGCTGTGTCATACACTCAGCCTTTCAGCCATGAGGTTTTCGATTGTCGTCACTATAACTTGTAAGTCAAGTTGTACTATAACTAATAGTACAGTACAAGATGACGTAATGAAACATAGCATTGCACAATACAATGACATGTCACAATAGTAACTCAATTATTATGTACAGCGTCATAGTAAGTGTTTACTTGTTTGTATGCTGTGGCTGTACATAATTTTGGTTCTTTCTTGTGTAAAGAGTATGGTATGTTAATAGATCGCTAGTTTTACTAATAGTTTTTAATAGTCAGTTTTTATGGAAACATTCGAGATTTAGAGGATACAATCTCGCCCTTAATTGGGACGATTGGGTAATAAAAATCGATTCATCAATAAAAAATGTGTTCATAAAGTAGTATTTTAGTCAAAGTTAGCACAGTATTGCAAAACGAACGTTTTTTTATGAACATAATAACACAAACAAATCGTTATAGTATCTTGTTTTACAATGTTTATGAGAAATGTAATAGTGTTGGCAATACTACAGTAGTTGTTAAATTTAGAACGAGATAAAATGGCTGATAAACAAATGTAAACATGTTGCATTAGTATAGTGTGGATCAGTCTCCCCTCCACTCCAACACGGCGAGTCAGTTCACTAGGGTGACGTCACAGTCGTGATGTTACGGGGTGGAGTAACCTTGAGTAGATATCACTCCGCGTCTTCTTCCAAAACATATTGTTTACCTTTATCAATCTCTGAAGAATTTTCAGTAAACGTTTTATAAACAACTGTCAAATAAGCTGTAACGCTTGTTCATGTATAGGTTTTAGGATTTAAACGTTTCTAAAAGGTTACAAAAAGTGTCGGTCTGGCGAACTATTTGACGCGCAGCAAGGAATTGGCGGGCGCAGCACGTGAACGTTAGCAAAACAATAACAGACCGTCTGGTCGTCTGACCCATTCAATATCCAGTTTCAGTGGAGTGAAGACGTGTGTGTTTTTGTTTCGTAAAATGCCAAGCATCGAAGAAACGTGTGTGTTATCTCCAGCAAACGCTTCTACTACTCAAGACTTCTTGTCCCGTGACATGGAAGAACTCGTGTCGGAAATGAAAGAAAACCTGCGATTAACGGGATACAAATCTAAACACGCTCAAAGGACTTCCAGACCTTCACCTTACCAAATTCCTAGTCGGTGGGGGGACAGCAATTGCAAAACCTGCATGTTGTCTTCCAAGTGTAGTGTACATTCGTGTTATAATAGGAAATCGAAAAGTGCAGAATCGGACGATCCATACGAGTTGCTACAGGACTTGATACGTGACGGCAGCCTAATCAAGGAAGCGGTCCGTAGACTTCAGCACGGATTTTGGCCCAAACAGAGGTATATGTACGATTCTGACGACGATTCGTCTAGGAGCCCTATGAAGCTGTGTCAACAATGATACGGCGTAGGACGGATAACCGAAGTTCCTCAACATTTCCAGATCTGTCTGCTCTACGGAGTCTCAGCTGGAATTCCTGCTACACGCAACAACCGAATTTAGTCCAGTGTTTTGCTGTTCGTTGTTGTTATTGTGATACGAGTTTGGTGAAGTCAAGTGAGTTTGCTGTCGCCAAAGGAGCTGGGTGGAGCTGTGCCAGGATATGAGGGTAACTTATCATCGACCCTAGGGTAGTCAGTGTAGACCCAGTGCAATTTTACGCTTAATAAATTAATGTCCTTCACGTCTCATTAAATATTTGTCAGAATATGTAACTTATATTTCATCTGTTTGGTGGATTACAAATCATTCAGTGATTTATATTGCTGTATTTTAGTTCATTACAAACAATGTTTTTGATTAATAAATAACCTTTTGTTTAATTCTTTTGAAGTTAGGCTTAATATTATAAGTTTTTACAAATCTCAGATAACTTAGGATAATAAGTTATGACTTAACCTATAGCCTACCGGTACATACATAACTTACAAACTGTTTTTAGTTTCAATATTATTAGCTTACATAACTTAAAGCAAGTGGAATTTTAGACCAAACTTGCAATTTAGGCTATCTTAACTTAATTCCTCAACTTAGACTCAAATCTTCAAATCAATAAACTCTCAAAATTAATAGGACTTAAACTTATTAAAACAATTCGACCAGCTATTTCCCAAATAAAATGTTATTAAATTCAGTAAAGCCTTGCACTATGTTTTTTTAGTTGTGGATTTAGCTGAATTGTATTTTAAATGAATTTAGTACGGTAATTAAACCAAAGTTTGGCTAGTCAGTAGTCTCATTTTCATTGTGTAACTTGTATATTTATTTTTTGAGCAGTTCATACAATACCAGAGCACATCAGCTACAATTACTCAATTGGTCCTTAGGAGGCCTTACTTGTACATTACCTATGTAAGCTTAACTTTTAAATCAAATTACATTTCACGATGTCCTAAAAGTCCATTCTATTCCTGAAGTGAAACCTTTAATATTTGGCATGGTAGCCTAATAATTGTGTATAAACATATTAAACTTATGTTTCATCATTGTAAATAAGTTTTAGTCACAAATTAATCTTAGTTTTTCATGGGGAATTGTTTTCATCCTAGCATTTGTATAGGGTCCTTACTGTGGATGATAACCTAAGTTGTTTTTATAGACTGTATTAAATAAACTCAAAGCTCATTTTGGTTTTGGAAGACATTTTTGTAACTGTACCAGTGTATTGAATTAGGGTTTCTTGTGTTTTAGAGTAGGCCTATCGTGTTTTCATAAGTTGATTTCCTTGGTATCTTTTGCTCCAATTATAAGTTAACTTATTGGCGAACTTAACATATTCCCTTGACCCATCAGGTCAGTGTAGGTACCTACTTATTTGGCTTTTAGAATGTTTTTCAAAATTGTGTGTTTTATCTGCATAAGTTACTGTTAGGTGGTACCTACCTATTACCTATTATAAACTTACCGTAACTTATTGCAAATGAATTATCTGGATTTTCCATCATTTAAATAACTTAAGTAGCCTAAATGTAAATTGGAATACAAGTTAAGTTGTTGGTTAGTCAATGGTTGGAGAAGTAACTTAATTACAAGTAAAGGTCAAAACAACAGTAACTTACTTATTTAACAACAGTTTGTTGACTATGTTTGTAACAACACAAGTTAAAAATAG